TGCAAGAGGATTTAGTCAACGATATGGAGCAGATTATGATGAAACCTTCGCACCAGTAGTGAGACACAGTTCTCTACGAGTACTTATTGCTCAGGCTGTGAAACAAGGTTTAAGCATTGATCAAATGGACGTGAAGACAGCATTTCTAAATGGGGAACTTGATGAAACTGTCTACATGAAACAACCGGAAGGATTCGAAGAAAAAGGAAAGGAAGATCATGCTTGTCTACTGAAAAGTTCATTATACGGATTAACACAAGCTCCAAGAGCGAGGAATACTAAACTCAATCATGAGTTATTAAAGTTGCGATTCAGGAGATCTAAAAATGAAACTTGCGTGTGCACTAGATCTAAAGGAAATGTTGTGATCATATTAGCGGTTTATGTCGATGATATGTTAATTTTTTGGAATGATGAAGATGAACTACGCAAAGTTAAGAGGGATCTTATGTCAAAGTTTGACATGATGGACTTGGGCAAAGCGGAACTGATCCTGGGAATGCAGATTACTCAAAGTGATTTAGGGATCAAAGTGGACCAATGAAAGTATATCAACAAGGTGTTGAAGAACTTTGGAATGGAAGACTGCAAGCCAGCTGCTAAACTTGCGGTTACAGTTTTAAATCTAAGCAAGCCTGGACCGGAACATAGACCTGATCCTGACGTGCCCTATCGGAATGTGATAGGCTCATTAATGTATTTGGCTGTATGTACAATACCAGATATAGCATACGCTGTAAATTATTTAAGCCAGTTTAATAGCCATTATGCTGAAGAACACTGGATGGCTGCAAAACGTGTGCTATCTTCAAGGAACCAAACACTATGGACTTATGTATAAGAGAAGTGTATCAGATGAAATACATTGTTATGCGGATGCAAGTCATGCTTCCTGCTATGATAAGAAGTCATATTCAGGAGCAGTATTTATGCATATGGGAGCTGCTGTCAGCTGGGAAAGCAAAAACAGAAGACCGTTGCATTATCAACAGCTGAAGCGGAATACATTGCAATGTCTGAAGCCGCTAGAGAGGCAATTTTTACAAAAAGATATGTGGCTGAAATAATTGGTAAGGAGGAGATGCCAATTAAGATATTCGGTGACAGTCAATCAGCCATTGCAATCGCGCACAATCCTGTGCATCATCAGCGTACAAAACACATTGCAGTACGTCATCACTTTATAAGGGAAGCAGTTGAGCATGGGCATATTGAGTTAGAATATGTACAAACTGAACGCATGGTTGCTGACTCTTTGACTAAACCTTTGTTGAAAGGTAAGTTTGAGTGGTGTAAGTCAAGTATGGGTGTTGTTTGAATGTTGTATGGGTATGATATGAGTGTTGTATGAATAGGTATGGAATAAAAGAGATAAAATTGAGGAGGAGTGTTAGAGCAAGGAGTTTTTACTCATGTATAACATACTTTTTTAGAACAATTTTACTCTTCTGATTTATTTGATACAATGTTTAATTTTTTTGTGATTAGCTGTCCATGCCTATTGTTTTTTACTTCACTTCTATTTTTGATGTTCTTGCAAACTATAAATAAAATTCATAAAATCTTTATTTAACGTGTTTGCATATGCATAGTATCCACTTAAAATATATTCGAAACATTGGTGGCCCAGAATTGGGGTTCACCAATTAACATATTAAAAAACTGAAATTCGCGAAGTTCGACGCTTTAATATACATACACATACGAAAAAGTACAAATAGAATATGAGTTGTTTATTGAGTTTTGAAAATTAATTTACTTTTATCACCACCACCACCACCAGCCCTTTTACGTCCCCACTGCAGGGGCTCAGGCCTTCCTTATGGATGGTTAAGGATTATGGGCCATGACCCTCCACGCTGAACACATGAAAGAAACCCGGAAGGGTTGTCATTGAGAAATCAAGAAACTACATTGCAAATGCGCTAGAACCTTGTTTAAATGAAAGCAGAGAGTATCGATAGCATAAAAGGTCTTGCCTTTTGTATTATATTTATAAATTATTGAAATATTTATGAACAATGCCCAAAATATCGTTACAATAATTTAATAACTTTTTGTTTGTTAATTTATTACATGTATAATATTTGAATTTATTTATTTTGAAAAGAATCATTTTAAATGTAAATAGAAAAAGAAAAAAATAACATTTGTTTTGTAATAACGCCATGATAAACGGAAAGAACTTTTTTTTAAACTTAACGAAAAGAAATAATTAAATGATAGTTTATTTCAAAGTATATACTTCATCACTCGGACGTTTATGCCCGGCGTGTTGATCGATGTAATGAAGAAGTATTTAAAAAAAATAAAGAAACTACAAAAATTTATATCACTAGATGGCAGCACGAATTGTTGGATCTAAACGTCAAAAGAGAATAGAATTGTCAGTGTTGTTATGGATCTGATAATTCGGATTAATATCGAGTTGAAATTTAACTAGTTCGAGTTATGCAAATGCTACTCGATTGATACAAAATAACCTTTGAATAAATTTCTTTATTTGTATAGAAGAAAATGGAAACTAAGATAAATGAGGTTTTTTTTTTATTTATGGAAATCAATTTAAATAATGCTGTGGCAAAAGTGGCATTTAGCTATTGTATACAATAATATTACCGCCAAATACTGTTTACAAAAAAATACTTATGCCATAGTAGGTCTAGGAATTTTTCATTATAATATTTAACAAAAGTTCTGAAAACAATAACAACTGAACTTACAACAACAAAACAATATCAAGTCTCAATATTATTTTTATTTATGAATGGTGAATGAATAGAGAATAGAGCTTATTAATCAGTGCGCGGGCACAGACAAGTCTGTAGGTCACGCGGGCCGACTGCTCAGTCCCGAGCTGGACAGCAAGCATTATGGACGTCCTTTTATGACGAAATTGGTAGGAATTACGAAATGAGTTTTAGCGAAAATAAACAATTTTGGAAAGATTTTTTAAAAGATATCCTTCTTTATGGAAGGTTTAAAGCAAGGAGTATATTAATATGGAATTACAAAAACAAAAATCCCGACTGCGTAAAAACGAATTAAAAAAATGAATACATGAAAGAATTAACTTACATAAAAACTAAAAAGAAAGAAACAAGCCCGAACGACTCATAGTCGGGGCCCATTCAAATTTTACCAATCAAATCTTCCCAAGACACAAAATCTTCATATTTTATGCCAACTTCCATGCTCGTCTTAAATTAATAAAAATTGTTTGCTATACATTTTTATAAACACACAAAAAAGAAGAAAACCTTATTAAATATAAATAACATTGAATAAATAAACTAACGACGCCCGGGTGCATTGCACCCCCTGCAGCATGGGTAAAAACGGGCCTGAGGTACTAAGGTTGGTTTTTTAATAAAATACAATAGTGTGATTAGTTATTTCTAAATTTTATCTCAAAAATATTTTATTTTACTTTATTTTTTAAATTTACATTGCATAAATCACCTGGTTCATCAGTTTCTAATTATTTCTATGTCTCAACTAACTACTGGTCTCAACTTATTTCTGTTTTTGTACCATTCTTTACACCAAACTCTTTTCTTTTGTTTTCTTCAAATATAATTACTGCAGCAGCAATTTATGCTATTTTCTCTGTTCTGTAGCTATTGTTATAATATGCAAATCAAATCAAAATATTTTATTCAGTCTAGGCTGTATAGAGAAAGACCAAGGAGATTTTAGATCACATGAGTTTATTTACCACCAAAAATATATACTTTATAAAATATAAACAGCACCGACAATAGCTTTACAAAGAGATGACTGATAACAATAGACGCGCATGTGCAGAACAGATTGTCAAAATGTCAATATTTAAATTTAAATTAATTAAAAAGATCCTAAACCAAGAAGGTCTCCCTCAACAGTTACAAGCACTTGTGAAAGTCGAGAGCTACGCCGTTATGCATTGGGAACACAACCAGTCGCTTAGCGCATCGAACACTAACTGACGAGTCTGTGTAGTATGTTGTGAACGACAGACATGCCCGGCAGACTTGCCCGTGGGCATGCCTGTCTAGTGAATTCCCCGCTTTAGAGTGCTCATTGAGTTGATACAGTTCTCATAGTATGAGTCTCTCTTTCTGTTTTGTAACTCTTAAGTAAGTGTATATGTATATATGTATGTATTTATATATGTATATGTGTCTATGCATATATATGTGACTATGTATGTTTATGTATTATAAACAATTTTCCTGCTCAACAATTAATGTTTTGTTATGTTATGGTCAGAGGTCGGAATTAGATAGTTATTTATGTATTTGCATCGAAATGTTGATATTAATGTGGACCTTCCCGGGATTTCTAATGGACAATCTTGGACATCTTTGGACATCCGATGTCATTGATGTAAGTTTGGCAACGTCATGCGTTCAGTAGTTTAAATTGTGTAAAAGTAAATAACTTTTTATTTAAAAAATCACGGGATTTTTCTGCTCTTTAAAATTAATCACGGGATTTGAGGCATATCCACTTTATTCTTTCGCTGTATGAAATCAGTGTAAGTACATGAATAACTCTACCTAATTCCGACCACTGGTTATGGTATACCTGTAGACTTCTTAATACACCATAGACTACCCAATTTTTCCAATTGTAGCCTGTATGCTATGTTAAGGTTGCCTGGAAGAAATTGCTTTTTAGCAATAAGGCCGCCAAGTGTACTATTTAGTTAGATTATTATATATTTGTTCATTCACTTATGGTGTGTACAATAAAGAGTATTTCATTCATTTCATTCATTTATTCTGAAAATTTAGTACTCATGTAATTGTAAATATTAACGAATATTTTAACGTAATGTTTACCTAAACATTACGTTAAAATATTCGTTAATTTTTACAATTTCATTAGGTAATTTATTTAGAAAATGAGAAAACTAATGATTGATATCGATACAAAAGTATCGATACCTTACACAATCGATTGTTTTTGCATATCCTAGCCTTCTTTTCTTCCTTTCTCTTCTCTTCAGGCTCGGCCATTTTTGTTGCGACGTTCGCTGTAGTAGGCGAAAATGGTGAGTGGATACATCTAATTTAATTTTTGTAATCTGTCACTGAAAATTATAATATTTGTTCTATTTTTATCGTGATATAGTCTCATGTCTTATTATTGTGCATATTATATTAAAATCTCTGAACGCAGATGATGAATAACCTATAAATATAATATACGGTTAGAACCTGAATCTATCTACATGAAGATTTTCTAGGGCGGACTGATGCGTGTAGTACAAGTATTTTAATTACACGGTCCCGTTCTGTTGATGTTCACAGAGAATCATTTTTTCAGTCGCACAGGAAGTTTTCTGCGCCTCGTCATGGATCTATGGGGTTCTACCCAAAAAAGAGATCTCGCCGTCATCGTGGTAAAGTGAAGGCGTTCCCTAAGGATGATCCTAGCAAACCAGTCCATTTAACTGCCTTTATCGGTTACAAAGCTGGTATGACCCACGTGGTTCGTGAACCTGACCGTCCTGGCTCAAGTAAGCATCTTTAATCTGTTGAATATTTTAAAATTCGTATGAAATTGACAACGTAGTTTGCATTCATGGGAATTTGTTATCAACTTCAATATTTTTCAGAGATTAATAAGAAGGAGATCGTAGAAGCAGTGACCATCATTGAAACACCACCTATGGTGGCTGTCGGTGTAGTGGGCTACATTGAAACCCCTCATGGACTCCGTGCCCTGCTTACTGTTTGGGCTGAGCACATGTCTGAGGATTGCCGTCGCCGATTCTACAAGAACTGGTAAGCAAATTTCACAACTTAGGGAATGCTGTGCAGTTCTCTACTCATACATTTAAACAGTTACCTCTAGAAGTACTTATTTAGAAAAATATATATTTGAGAATATCTTAAAAAGCAAAGACAAAGACAGATTTTTGTATTATCTAAATTACCTGTCATAAAAGTTAATAATAGTTTTTTTCTAGTTTCCTTTTACCATTTCATATAAATCTGATTTAAATCTGCTCTTATTTATTATTAAAGTTACTAATGAAACCATTACAGCTCTCCTATCACTGTATGAGAGCCATCATAAAATGTGCACTGAGCATGTTTGTTACCAAAGCAGTCTCCGCTCAACGATGAGGCTACTTGGGTTTTTCTTGCAGCCTCCATTTTACAATGTGATTTGATTAGGTACAAGTGCAAGAAGAAGGCATTTACAAAGGCTAGTAAGAAGTGGCAAGATGAGCTAGGCCGCAAATCTATTGAAAAAGATTTCAAGAAAATGATCCGGTACTGCAGTGTTGTTAGGATCATTGCCCATACTCAGATGAAGTTGCTTAAGCAACGTCAAAAGAAGGCCCATATCATGGAGATTCAAATTAATGGTGGTTCTATTGAAGACAAGGTCAAATGGGCCCGTGAACACCTTGAAAAGCCAATACCCATAGATTCTGTTTTTGCCCAAGATGAGATGATTGACTGCATTGGTGTTACTAAGGGCAAGGGTTATAAAGGTATGTCATGTAAATTTATATTATTTTGTAATAGAACTTGTTTATATACATTTAACATCGGCAGAACAAAACAAAAACAAGCTACAATGAAAAAATTAATGAATCTCATTCATTTCACTTGCAGTCAATAATTTATCAACAATTCAGTCAAATAACTTTGAACTATTTAAAAAACTATTGAAATATCATTATTTCCTTTAGTTTGTAAATTATATTTGTAATATCATATTAAAAACTTTGTAAAAATGGTGTGACAAAGTATTATTATTTTTACTTTTCTGTTCATTAGGTGTAACTTCACGTTGGCACACTAAGAAACTGCCACGTAAGACACACAAGGGTCTCCGTAAGGTTGCTTGTATTGGAGCATGGCATCCTTCTCGAGTTAGCTTCACTGTTGCTCGTGCTGGTCAAAAGGGGTATCACCATAGAACTGAAATGAACAAAAAAATCTACCGCATTGGACAAGGTAATTAATTATGTAGTGTTTTGTAATTTTTTAATTATGTGAAATATTTAGCCATTCTGCTCCTAATTTTTGACAACCAATTATTTTGGGGCATTGGCATAATAAGTATCAGAAGAAAAACACTTCTTGAACAAATATTTATTGCTACTGGCTGACTCTTCTTCGCTTTTTTAGGAATTCACACCAAAGATGGTAAAGTCATCAAGAACAATGCTTCTACTGAATATGACTTGTCTGAGAAATCCATCACTCCTATGGGTGGTTTCCCTCATTATGGTGAAGTCAATAATGACTTTGTCATGATCAAGGGTTGCTGCATGGGACCTAAGAAGCGAGTTATCACCTTGAGAAAAGTGAGTTCATGATGCAATTTTTTATAAACTGAAAAACATAATTCTATTTGTATTCTATGGTTTCTATTGCTCAATAAATGCAAAATTATGAAAAAGAAGAAAAAAGATTATTAGAAGAAATACATAATAAGAACTTGATTAAAACATGCCCCATTTGAGTGCAGTTTGTTTCCAAAATTTGTCTAATAACTGAAGTAAACATCCATTTGATTTCATGATATGGTGCTTTGAAACTGTTTTTCTTTTAGTAACTATTGTCTTTAATAGCCTATTATATTTGCAGTCTTTAAGAGTACACACAAAGAGAGCAGCCCTTGAGAAGATCAACTTGAAATTCATTGACACGTCATCCAAGTTTGGTCATGGTCGCTTCCAAACGCCGGCTGATAAGGCTGCCTTTATGGGTACGCTCAAGAAAGACAGAATACGTGAAGAGGCGGCTGCTACCACGCCAGCTGCTGCTCCACAGCCTTAAACATTTTAAAAATAAAGTGTTTAAACGTAAAATGATGTTGCATTATTATTTAATTACTGTAATATTTCTCAAATTATGGTTTGGTTCGATTCTTATAAGTTCATTACAATCTATTGAACAATTTACTTTTACAATGAAATTTTGTCATTCTATAATGTCATAAGGGATAAACTAATGCCATGTAAAGCTTTGCAATACTGTTTTTCTATCATGGATCCCAAGCAATAAAGAGAAATTATTAATTTCCTTTCCTAAACAGTGTTACTTGGATTCTTTGAAAGAATTTATTATTTATCTAAAAGTTTTCAAATTTAAGGACATTATTTTAACTTTCATCCCATTATCCCTATTAAGCCACGGTTGATCAAAAAGTACGATAAAAATCCTATTCCTATTAATAAGCGTCATACGTCAATTGTTTCGATTTCCGGCAGAGAATTCACTTGTCGCGAGGTCAATGTCCATAGGTTTTAATGTTAACAATTTGTGCAGCCTATCAATGTTACCAAAACCTGTATGATAGCAAGAAGATAGAAGCGAAGCAATCTAGAATTGATAGTTTCTTTAAGCCAAAAGTTTCATTTACTATTTCTCATTGCATATTTTGTTTATTTAAGTTTTGTTATTATTATTAAGATACCAAAAATAACTTGCATTTTCGTAAGTAGGTACATTTATAATTATTTTAAGTTTAATTACATACTTCAATAAAGTATGTATATCAATTGTTATAAATGTAGTTTTTGTTTATTTCAAGTCCGAGTGAAACCTTTCCCTTGAGTTTTACATGTAAACGTGAAAAAATATGTCTACTTACGTTGTTTCGATAATACAATTAAAAATAATACAATACGGCGCGATTGGTACTATTCGCGATTGGTCCAATCGTGAAAAAATTACAAATTCGCTGTTGGGCCAATGCGCTATAAAATTCAATTCAAGTATTTATTATTTCTTAAAATCAAATATTTGGCACCTTTATATTGCAAACATTTATCGTAGTAGGTAAGTTACTATACCAATAGTAGATAACTCAAAGGTCAACTATCTTTATAATGAGATCAATATTATAGAAAGTTATAACATCACTTTTATATATATAAGAAAATGAGGAAACCAAAATTTAAATCTTTTTTATAATTATAATGAGATCAATATAATAAAAAAAATATAAGTTATATAAGTATGAGATGATGAGAAAACCAAATATATATTCTAATGAAGTAAATTAACACAGCGTACCTAGTAGGTACTACCTACCATATAAAGTGTAAACATTAAATTACATGAGCAAACACAGTGATAATTAGAGGAACTTGAAACATATAGTACATATATAAAGATCCGTGTCCGTATCCGCGGATCTTGACCCCAATATCCGTATTCGGATCCGTATCCGCGGATATACATTTTTAACGATCCGGCACATCACTGGTTATAACAGTAGGTATTTCATCACAATAACATCGGGACTAGAATATTTGATTGGATTAATCCAGGTTTTGATCCAGCCCGACTCACAAAATCCGAAATAGGGATGACGTCAAATGTTTGTCTGTCCGTCGAGTAGATTATTAAGAATATTAATTTTTGCGTAAAGAATAAATTACGGCGATACCTGAGTTGAAATGTTGCATGACGTAACACCATTATACATAATTGTGACGAAGCGGGCCCCCGAATATAAACCATTTCTTGTTCAATTGATAAAAAAAATAATTTTTTTCTAATATTTTCTTATTATCTAATTGACGGATTATTTTTTTTTTTACCCAGTCATAATACCCCCTATTATTGTAGTAAATAGTCTTTTTTGCTATAACATAATTTGATGATCCGTCTTCAATAAGACCCGATCTACATACCAAATAAATGCTATAGGCAATATTGAAATGTGCTGGTAACAGCACGTCAGGTTATGCAATCAGTCAAACTCCACTTGATTTTAAACCTTAACGTTTTTGAGTTTAGTTTAAAATCAACTGTAGACATTAGACATTGTGAATCTGGTGCAGCAGGGTGTGCATATTTAATGAGTTTTTTTTAATTAAGATAGGAATAGGCTTTAAAAAATAAATTATTTAAAGATAAACAAAAATCCCGACTGCGTAAAAGTTTTAACCAGTAATTTAGAAAGAACAATGGCCATCTGCCTAACATGCTTGGACTAGTAAAATCGAATAAAACGTAACTTGATGAAACCTATGTTATTTTGTTTGCCTATGCAACTAGAACAAAGAAAGACATTAAATATATTTTTAAAAGCTGGGAGTATCGAGTAATTGTGTAATATGTTTTTGAGGTTATGTCGTATTATTTAAACTGTATCATTTTGAGTTAGCGGTATTATAGTTGAAATATGTAAAGCACACGTCAGATAATGCCTATTCGTAGTCCTAGAAGTATAATTATTATTATACTTTCACTTAATACTTCAAACTTGCTCCATATCTGATATGTTATTTTTATTGACTAAAAGAATAATTTTTTGTGAACCAATAAACATCAAAAAAAGAATAGAATTTTTAAGATTGCTCTCAATAACTCTACTTTTCTATCTTACACTATAACTTATATAAAGTAGTAGTGAAAATACTAATTTCAAAAGGATATAAGTAATAAAACATGTTGATTTTTCTTTCCTTTATTACAACTCTAATGAATACCTCATCAGAGAATGCTGCAGGAGCAGCTACATTCTGTTCGTGTCTGGCCCATCCACGATACCAAACTATGGTCATTATATGAGCACAGCATTCCTAGTGTACATACATCGACCAATAAGACAATTACAGCAGTGTTCTCTTATGCCATCTAACCCGGATGTGTCATTATTTTTTTAAATGTACACATAATATTGTTTCCGCCCAATGTCTCGACTGAATTCTACCCCTTATAATTAGGACTTTATTTATATTTAAGTCTAATTCTAATAAATCAAGAATCTGGTATTTCTCTACAGACCTCAATCCTATACTGCCCATGGAACCTAGTATGCTCCCAATAATACAGAAGATAAGACAAAATCACCGCCAAAGTTACAAAACGGTCTGCGTAGAAACACGTCTACACATACTTGTCTAAAAAAGGGATGGTCGCAATCGATTGAATACTGTAATATCGATTCTTTTGAATAATCATTTGTTTTTAATTTCATTATAAATAAACTATTTTCCTCTAAGTAACATCTAATTATATTAGTAATCTAATCTAAGTTTTATAATTTTCACGGATTTATATGGTTAGTAAATAATATAAGATTTGTATCAAATTCGATTAGTCAAGACATAAAATCGATCTTGTTCTTTGAAAAGAGAGGGACTTCTCTAGGAATGACATTATTAATAAGATGCGTTCAAAAATAACATAATTTAAACTGCGTTCTAAAAAAATAAAGACATATTTTAGAGAGGATTATCTTTCTTTTCCCAGCTTTTAAAAATAAATTGTTTGTATATAATAATTACATTCAACTTATACTACATTTTGGTGTTAGTCCCATCTTGGTACAAGAACTTTTTTTTCGTAGTCCATTTTGACCCATGTTTTTTTGTTAAGTAATACAGAGAACGACTTCCCAAGGGGCCCCGACTATGAGTCGTTCTGTTCTGTATTACTTAAGACCCATATTACATCTCAACTGTGATTTCTGCGTGATTTTTCTCGGAAACAAAAATAAATTAACAATTTTGACTTGTTGAATAGTGAAAAATAACTCTTGGTATAGAAATATAGGCCTAACTTTTTGGAAATTTTGCTCATCTTTTTAATTAAAATCAAAATACCAGAGAAAGATTTTCATAAAATGCGCAGACACTTTTTTGAAGTCCTGGATTGAGCTACTGTTCTTAACAAACGAAATAAAAGAAATAGAATGATATCTCTTATATAGTCGTAAAAAAACAGTAGCGTCGAAATTTTGAAATAGCACTGATTTATATATAGAAAAACAATCATATTACAAACCAAAAAACATCAAAAATTGCTTGAAGTTAACTTTGAATTTCTCTTAGCCACAACAATATTATTTAACAAAATTCATGCCAGATTAATGACTATTTCACAAGGAACAAAGTTATTATAATTTTAAAGCATAAATTTATTATATTATTTCAATAAATACGATAAATGTAAACGCAAAATCACTACAAAATAAGATGCAGCGGCCGTCTGAGCTCAGTACCACGCGAGCGCTCCTCAACGTTAGATCTGTCGCATTACTTTTCGCCATTTTTCGATCTAGATACGTTCCGAGCGAGCGTAAATAGAGCAGTATAGTGGGACTTCCAACTTTGGTCACGAAGTTCGATTTATATAGCTTGTTGAATTATTTCTAATACACATTTGTTAATTTCAGCATAGGTCGAAAGACCCCTACTTTACAAGGTACTTTTTCTCTCAATACACTTATTACTAGTACATAAAAATTAGAGTGCATATTTGTAATATTAAAATAACCCGCTTTTAACTTAATACATTTGTGTGTATACATGGTACATATACAAAAATAATATATCTTATCTGTCTGTCTGTTAGTTCTGGCTAATCTCTGAAACGGCTTGGCCGATTTTGAAGAGACTTTCACTAGAAGTTGACTTACATATTGAGGATTAACTTGACTTATGGCTCGATGCAATTCGATCGATATCAAATTTATCGGAGATCCGCATATCAAACAACTTTTTCTAAATTTAATATATTTTTAATCCCCGACGCAAAAACGACGCGGTGTTATAAGTTTGACATATCTGTGTGTGCGTGTGTGGTGTGTTTGTCTTTTTGTGGCATCATATGGTTTTCAATGTGTGGGGCGCGCCCCCCAGGGGGGGCGTAGAACCCTTTAAAGGGGGGCGCGAGCTAACTGTGTGGTTAAGTATAAAAAAAACCCGCGACTGCTGAGAGAATGCATTCTAGACTGCTCGATACGACCAATAAATAAATATCATACAACATCACACAAATTGATCTGATTCCGAAATAAGTAGCTTAAGCACTTGTGTTACGGATATCGGATTCAACGGCTCGTTCCTGCATGCACCCCTCCCGCGCGCCACGGTCCCGCCAGCGCACCCTGCCATTGTTTTGTTTCTGACTCAGTACGGCTCGCCAACTGTTCTCGTGCGGTTGTTTGTTGCTAGTCACGCACGTACCTAATTAATTTTGATTCAACAACATGAGTTCGACTAAAAAACGCAAATACAATGACGATTATCTGAAATACGGTTTTGTTTGCCTAACTAAAAATGATGGTGACCATCCACAGTGCGTTATCTGTTATGAAGTTTTGAGCAATGATGCATTAAGGCCCACTCGTCTGGAGAGACATTTGTTGACAAAACACAGCGATTTGAAGGACAAACCAAAAGAGTTTTTTGCTTCAAAATCTGGAAGTTTAAAACGAATGAAGTTGGACAGTACGGGATCTTTTGCCGAGTCAAACCAAAAGCTACTTGAAGCTTCTTATGAGTTATCGTTTCTCATCGCCAAAGAAAAAAAAAGCCATATTATTGGAGAAACACTCGTCAAACCATGTATGTTAAAAGCAGCTGAGATCGTTCTTGGACCAGAAAGTAAGCAAAAATTACAACAAATTTCACTTTCTGACAACACAGTAAAACGGCGCATTGACGACATGGCAGAGGATATAAAAAAACAAGTTGTAGACGCCGTGAAACAATCGCCCTTTTTTACAATACAATTAGACGAGAGTACAGATGTTGCACAATGCTCTCAGTTGTTGGTTTTCGTACGATATATTCAAAACGAAACAATTCAAGACGAGATGTTGTTTTCTACTGAGTTAACTACAACAACAAAAGCAGTTGATGTGATGGCTGCAGTCTCTGAATTCTTCACTGAACATGAGCTTTTATGGGAAAAATTGATAGGCGTCTGCACAGATGGCGCTCCTGCAATGCTTGGCTCACGCTCCGGTTTTGTACAACTTGTTAAGGAAAAACAACCCAATATAATCGCAATCCACTGTTTTATACATCGTCAAGCATTGGCAGCAAAAACACTACCCAGCGAACTGAATGACGTGTTGAAACTTTGTATCAAAGTAGTAAATTCTATAAAAAGGAGTGCGTTAAATACACGACTTTTCACAGCGTTTTGTGAAGATTTGGGAACTGAACATAAAACATTATTGTTTCACACAGAAGTGCGCTGGCTCTCAAAGGGTAATATGCTGACAAGATTATTTGAACTTCGCGATGAAGTAACACTATTTCTCGAAAACCAAAAAAGCGAATTATGCAATGAATTCAAAAGTCCCAGTGTCCAAGTAGCGCTGGCTTATTTGTCAGATATATTTGATTCATTGAACTCATTGAACTTGAAACTTCAAGGCGGAGATTCAAATATAATTTATCACAGAGACGCCATCAAGACTTTTACTGAAAAGTTACAACTTTGGGATCGCAAAGTATTAGCAGAGCCATCTAATTATGTACATTTTCCTAAATTATACAGTCTTTCAGAAGAAACGCGTTTTATGGATGTTTTTCAAGATGCTGAAACTAAGAAAAAAATATCAAATCATTTGCGATGCCTTACTGACGAGTTCAGTCGTTACTTTCCCAATTCATATGATGATGACATTTATCGATTGGCGACGGATCCATTCCATGTTAACGTAGATACTCTGCCAGAAACACTTCAAGAGGAAGCCTTGGACATTAAAAATAGTTCTGCAGCCAAATACGATTTTGAAAAAATGAGTCCATCATTATTTTGGGTGAAAATTTTTTTAATTTACCCCAAAATAGCAAAAAAAGCACTTCAATTGTATTTACCCTTCTCAAGTACATATTTATGCGAAAGGGGATTTTCTGCCGTAGTCGCAATAAAAACCAAGTACCGAAATAAACTTGACATTGGCAGTGATTTGCGTTGTGCGATTTCTATGGTTAAACCGAGAATTATAAACCTCGTCAAATCCATGCAAGCTCATCCATCTCATGGAAATAAATAGGTACTACTTACCAATACTTTTGCGTTATTTTTGTATTACTTTAATGATTAATAAAAATACTTATTACGTTGAATACTTTTTTATTTTAACCTGATAATCTGGACTAAAGGATGGGGGGGCGTGATTTTTTTTACGACCCGGTCATGGACAGTGCACCAATCATGAACACATTACCATTAAATCGCCAATAACTACAAAATCCGACTATTTTTTTTTCAATGGTAACACTATATGAATGTGTTTATCCAATCCGGAGCCTAGAAATTTTTTATTGACAGCTGTCGGCCATATTAACAAAATAAACTGAATACGAATACGTTTATCCGACGATTTCAAAAAATATCCGATCTTTTAGTAAGCTTCGTGGCGCAAGTAAGTTTAAAAATTAATTAATGTTAAAGCCGGTAAAGTTATTATGTTGAATGAGTCATTATTTTGTGATTTAATAGTATATTTAAGAATAGCCTACAGCTTGATATATTACAAAATGGTTATAGTAATTTACAAATACAACAATGTTCATCATTGGATAAATAAAAGTGTTACTTACCAGTCATGAACAATTTGGGAAATTTTTAATTTATTATTGCTAAATATTTAAGTAATGTTTGATAATGTTCATAAAAAAGCCTAACGATTGTTATTTTACGTAACACGGTGATGATTATTGAATTTAAAAAATGGCATGTTCATGATTGGGTGATCATAACTGGTGATGGTGTTGCTAATTGGGTGTCCATTACTGGCAACTATCAAACTATATGAATATTTTTTTTATTCGTACGCTTTATTGTAGAAATGTTTTATTATAGATTTACAATGCGATTAGAATAACAATATAATTATCAAGGTGCTCTTTCGTAATTGTGCTTGACAATTTGACAGAACTAAGTAGAAGAATCAAGTAGCCATGTGGAAGACCGAAAACTCAGGACATCATCTTAAAAAAGCTAATTTAGCTCCTAATTTGCAAGTAGCTATAGAAAAATTGTCTTCAGATACAATTAAAAATGGATTCCGCAAAAGCGGTCTTTTTCCTTTTGGCCCTGAGTATGTTGACGTGTCCAAAATTAGTGCTGAAAAACGTATTCCACCTAAAAATAATAGCGTAACAGAACAGGCAAATTCCGAAAAATTTTGGAATCAGAAATCATAAACATATTTTCGAAAGATAAATTGATATTATTTAACCAAATGTACTGGTCGCAAAAGACTGATGTCGAAAATCTACTGCCTAATAAAGATTTATCATTGTACGTTTTATGGTCAAAAAATAAAAACACACTTTTAGACAATTAATCAGTTGGAACACGTATAGATAAAAGAAATATTATATCGAATTCCAATACACAAATTGAAAAGTCAATTTCATATCCAGAATCAGAAGCTACTAATGAACCAAGACAGGTTTGTGATGAAGAATCTATCCCTCAAGAACATATTTTGTTTGAAAGGTGTATTAGTCGGGAGTGTTCTTCACTTTGATGAAAATCTATCCAAGATGGCCGCCGCCACAAAATGTCGGATTACATATTTTATCACCATTCCATCAATATGGGTATCAAATAAGAGGGCTTGAGTAGTAGAATACTGAACACTATGACAAATTTCAAATCCAAGATGGCCGCCACCAAAAATATTGGATTACCTACATATTTCTCACGACTGCCTCATTACAGACATCAAATAAAAGGGCTTGAGTAGTTGAATACTGTTTACTATGACAAAATTTTATATACAAGATGGCTGCCGCCACATAATGTTGGATTATCTACATTTTTTGTCACGACCCCCTCAATACTGATTTCAAATATAAGAGCTTGAGTAGTAGAACACTGAACACTATGACAAAATTTTATATACAAGATGGCCGCCGCCACAAAATGTTGGATTACCTATATATTGTCATGACTCCCTCAATACTGATATCAAATAAAAGGGCTTGAGAAGTAGAATACTATAAACTATGACAAATTTCAAATACACGATGGTCGCCACCAAATGGTTGGATTATCTACATATTTTGTCACAACTCCCTCAATACGGATATCAAACAAAAGGGCTTGACCGTATACTATGACAAAATTTTATATACAAGATGGCCGCCGCCACAAAATGTTGGATTACCTACATATTTTGTCATGACTCCCTCAATACGGATATCAAATAGAATACTATAGGTACACTATGACAAATTACAAATCCAAGATGGTCGCTATCATAAAAGTGCGAAATTATATAATAGGTACAGACAATCACATGTCGGGTTACCAAAATCTAACACTGAAATAATTATTCAAATCGGACGAATAGTTCCTGAGATTAGAGCGTTCAAACAAGCAAGCAAACAAACAAACAAACTCTTCAGCTTTATAATATTAGTATAGAGTAGCCATTCAAAGCGTGAAGTTATTTGAACTTATATTATTATACGGTAAGTTAGATTTAAATCGGTGTAGCAGTTTCAAATTAAGAGGGGGGGGGGGAAAGTGGGGATGACCAATGTTATCCTTCTATGTGTACCATTAGTACTAACTATCTCTTCTGTCCTTCTATGTGTACCATTAGTACTAACTATCAAAAGCTCTAGCGCTTGATCTGCGATTGCGAATATTAAGCGACGTTCGCAAAATCCAATAATGGGATGGGCGATCAATCTTTTTTATTTAGCTGAATTGAAGGGGTGATGGTGAGGCGGAGCGGGCATGGCGAGTATTTACTCTCTTTTTAACGCATACTTGCTTAGTAACGTGTGAAAAAAATTTCGTCACCCATCCGATTACTGTCCTTTGCAAATGTCGCTTATCCTCTACAATCGCAGATCAAACTTGTTAACTACTTCAGCATCAAGTCAATCCACCCAGCATTTCTGACTGGACCCACGTGTGGTGGTTCTTAACAGATGAAATTATTCCAACCAGCATTCCTCGTTGCATTCAGTACATCAATTAGGATTGGTAGTGTTAAAGCACATATTATTAATCTATGATTTAAATGCATCCAGAATTCCGCACTGGGCCTAGGTCGTCCTAGGTATTACTAGGACGTCCTAAATCGTTCCACTAAAATAATTAACCACCCATCCGATTACCGGCCTTTGCAATCGTAGCTTAACCTCCTCGATCGCAGATCAAACGAGCTATCTGGCGCCATCGGACTTTTCATTTGTTTATATACGGATATTGCCGTATTTTTTTGTAAAATTCAATATATTGGGTTGGCACAAAAGTAATGAGACACACTAGAAAAATCTATAACATTTCCTTTTTAAAATCAATTTTTTCGATAATATTCTAGAATGTTGTAGAACATTCTAGGTACTTCTGGTGTAGGGTATATAAAGCCGCGCTCGCGATTTGTTTAGTCAGTTTGAAGAAAAATGGACGAGCGACAAGTTCGAACACTATACTTATACGAGTACTTGTTAGGCCACAGTGCGCGGGCTGCGGCTGACAATATCAACAATGCATTAGGCGCTGGAAGTACAAGCCATGCGACGGTGTCCCGATGGTTTGACCGTTTTAAATCAGGAGACAGGAGCCTTGAAAGTCAGCCACAGGGCGACCACCCGCAGTGAATGATGACGATTTGCGCCGCGAACTGCAGTTGAATCCGGATGCTACCACTCGTGAATTAGCGGAAGCACTTAAATGCAGTCACCACGCCGTGGAACACCATCTGCATGAGCTTGGTTATCGAAAAGTTTTGGCTCGGTGGGTACAGCACATCCTTACAGACGCCAGACGTGCAGTCCGTGTCGCTATCTGTCAGTCACTTTTGCTGCGACCCCGCCGTAAAGAGTTTTTGTCAGATCTGGTTACTGGAGATGAATCATGGATTTATTACGAGAACGATACACGTCGTGCTTTTTGGCTGCCTCGAGAAGAAACGCCACCAACTCAACCGAAGCCGAGTCAAAAGAACCGCCGAAAAATTCTGCTTTGCTGTTTCTGGGATGCGCAAGGCATACTGTTTTATGAGCTATTACACAATGAAACTATAAACGCTGACAAATATTTAACCCAGCTTACCAAATTATCTGCCGCTATCAAGAAAAAACGACGAAGACGAGTCAATGTAGTTTTACTGCACGATAACGCTCGACCTTACGTCGCATCTGTAGTTCGCCGGCAGTTGGAGAACTTGGACTGGGAGACGATACCCCACCCACCTTATTCCCCAGAGCTCGCCCCATCAGACTATCATTTGTTTAGAGCCCTGAAATAGCATTTGCGGGGTAAACAATTTAATGATTTCTCTGACGTAGAGGCGGAGTTGAACAACTTTTTCGAGGCTCAGCCATCAGAGTTCTGGGCAAAAGGCATCCAAACTTTGCCGGATCGTTGGCAAGAAGTCTTAGATACTAATGGTAATTACATCATTGACTAAACTTTTTTTATTGTAATAATAATAAAAAAGTATAAACTTAAACCAAGTGTCTCATTATTGATGATATGGTAAGTTTGAGCAAATGAATCGTTCCTCGATATTATTGAACAGAAAATCAAAAGCAGATTGAGCGTTCTACCGCCTTCATACATTTGAAGTGATACCGCAGACCATGAGATTTCTGACCGATATTGACAGATAGTACAATCTCATGAGCAAACACTTGAGTTTTTCCATACATGTTATAAGTGCATGTGATTCGTGTGATATCGTTCATTGATATCGAATAACATCGCATCTAGCCATGAGAAAAGAACCTTAGGTTACTTTCCATTCGTATTAAGTCGCGGGCACAACTAGTTTAATATAATTCTAATTTACTACTTTTCAAAACAGGAAACAGTCCATGTTTCCTATGGATGACGAAAATATTTCGAAATCGTCGACGAAGAATATGGCACGAATATTTTGTAATTAATATTTATATTTTTATAGATATATTATCATCGCTATTTATAATTATAGCCTATGATTTGGCTAAACTTGTTTCTTTTAATTTTTGTCCGATCTTAGCAGTCGTGTTTTTAATTTTTTAATAATTATTTATATTTTATTCCTTTTAGTGAGCAGCTAATTTTGTATAGAGATTATATATTTTTAATGGATCTTTAATTTGATACCCATAAAGTTATGATTATAAAAAAACATACTTTTTTAAATGGCGTCACACGTCCCCATACCTATTTAATATTAATAAATAAAGCTAGTTTCACTGATACTCTATGTATTTTGTGGTAACTTAGGATGATGTTTCTAATGATACCCTATACATTCATATCCGTTATATCTTTCAAAAGTTATGGTGCAATAAAAAACTCACATACATATATTAATTAAAAACAATAGACGACTCCTTTTCGAGAGCACTCGTGTTAAAATATTCGGGAATCGATAATGAATCTCACCATAGAAATACTAAAATAAATACAAAAATTGGGAAAAGTATCAAAATAGCTTGAACGTAGTTTCAACACAGTATTGTGGACTCGTGACCTTGAACAAGTTGTCGAGAACTCGGAACGCTTCAAAATACCTAATCTCACAGAGTGAAAATTTATCATATGGCTCTTAACAGAATTCTAAACTACTGGGCTTGTTTCTTTCTTTTTAGTTTTTATTTAAGTTAATTCTTTCATGTATTTTTTTTAATTCGTTTTTACGCAGTCAGGATTTTTATTTTTCTTTAAATTATTTATTTTTATTTTATACTCTTTAGTTAAGATTCGTTGACTTCGTTATAAGATGGTAAATTTCGCAATTATTTCATTGAGGGAGTTAATATCGTGGGGATTATTAAGTAACTTGCAGTGGTCTAAACTACTGATGATTAGTCCCTCTAGAGTCCTAACTCGGCTCAAATCTACATATGCTTTATTTTTTTACCAATAATATTTGTTCTTCATGCTTTTTCGCTGTTTTTTTTTTTGTTTGTATATCGTTTATACTTTAAATAAAAACTTTAATCAATAAGTAAGAAAATTAGCGAGAATGTTTTGTTAAACAACTTTAAATCGTTATATATCCTAAACTATTATTTAAAATGATAAAATTAAAAATGAAAAAATTAATAATAATAATTAATTTAAAATGAAAAAATGACAAAAGGAACCTAAAGATGATTTTAAAATACCCATTCAACGACACCCCATTTGACATAGTTCATCAATTTTTATTTTTTTCATTTAGACAATATGGCGTCTGGTTGTCGCTGTGGTGAATTTTGATTACTGTCATGTCTTTAGTGACACTCGCAAGGTTAAGATGAATCGACTGACGTAAGAATCATCTAGAACGCCATATAGAAACAAACATACATACATACATAGGACTGATAAACACATTACCCTCCTTTGCGTCGCGCAGTCGGGTAAAAATTACATTAAAACATTGGCAAATCAATTGATACCTCTGGCAAGATAGAAATGGGGAAAACTGTTATAGTATCATTTAAACACATTAATTCATATGGGAATTTTTGCATTATATTTACGAAATTTTTTTGTCAAAGAAATCATTTTTCATAATATGTCTTATACACTGCAGAACAATATTTCGTTCTTGTTGTATCTCTCTATTTAATAATTTTTGAAGAAGTGTGGATGGAAGTTTTGGTTTCCTATATTGATATCTTTTAATTTTCATATTATTGTTATGTGTTTTCACATTTTTTGTTTTGCTATTGGTGACTTGCACAGTAATTTCTTGTTCAACTATTTTAGTGTCAATTTGTTTTACAACTTTTATTTCTTCTGGGCCATCGTCATCATTATCATCATTGTTTTCTGTGTTTCCAAATGATTCATTTTCCAGCATGTTTGGAGTGGTATCATTTGGTTTGACCTCTTTAACTTCTTCAGTTTTTTCTTCATTATCTATGCATTTTTCAGAAGACCTAAAATTTTTTATCACTTTTATATCTTCAGGACTACCACTATCATGATCTTTATGCAAACATTTATTTTGTAATACATTTTTGTTATGTGCTTGTGATTTTGGTGAGATTTCAATGATTTTACATGTCTCTAAGTTTGTCTTTTCTAATTCTTCATCAGATGATTCATAATCACACATAAGGGCAGACAAAGCACTACATACATTTGGCTCAAGTTTTGCTCCATCTACTTTGGAATTATTTACAATTATATCATCCTCATCTTCAATATCTATATCAACATTTATTTCCTCTTTTTCTTCTTCAGCTATACACTCCATGATAATTCCTTGAATTCCAGAGAAAGGCTTAAGAGTCTGTAAACTGTTGACCTCCGGCACAACATCTACTGTTTTCTTATGAAATAGTTTTTTGATAAAATTATTTACTGTAGATTTTTTTCCAACATTTGTTCGTTGTCTTTTTGGTTGATTGTTATCATTTGAAATTGTTTTCCTCTTTGGACCTAAAAACAATGAGAAAGGTAATGAGAAAATAACTTATTTTCACATAGTAACTGTGATTTTATTATGTATAGCTTATAGAAAATGTAAAATATGTTCTGTTCACTTAAATTTCAATGCCTAATTAAGATATTATTTACAAGGCATAACAATATTATGATAGTTTTCTACAGAATTACTAGCATGTACCTCTTTTTATTGAGTTCCTGATATTTGAGCATTGTTGCAATCATGGAGCTCACAACAGTGCTGAAATATTGGGAAATCAATAAAAACAACCCACATAAAAATATAACTCATGTGACCGTGAAAGTTAAAAACAATATATAACAACAGATATTAAAAAAAAACAATTTTAAATATAATCCAGTTAGTTTAGGCATTTTAGCTGTTTTCTTAATGAGTTACTTTACATGAAATCAATATACAAAGCTAAGATAAAATTCCTTAAAATAAGTAAAAAGCACCTATTTTGAAATTTTTGTAGTGACCACTGGCTTTCAGTCCCATTTTTTCTCCTCTGTCAAGTTTTTCTTTATGTGCTGCTGTTTTTTTTTCAACATTCTGTTTTGTGGGATATTTTTTCTTTCTTTCTTCTCTCCATTTTTGTATATCTTCAGGATTGTTTAGGTTTGCAATCTTTTTATACAGACCAGAAGCATGTTGCATTTGAATATGTTTTGTCACCACTTTGGGATGAGCAACAAATTGACAACCATCAATATTACATTTCTGGAAACGGGTAAATAAATTATATTTAATGGTCCCAAACCTACTTGATAAAATGTACACAGTGAAAGAAACAACATTTTTAATGTTGTAATAATAAAATTTGGTCAGAATATAAGTACATGTGTGTTATAGATAAATAAATTCGTAATTACAAGCCTATTAATATATTAGTACCTGATGCTGCTGTATATGTTTTTCAAGTAAGTCAATACTTGGAAAGTTTCGGTCACATGTTTCACACCAGTATTGAGTGTTACAGTTTGATTGAGGCGATCTTTTATATACATACTGTCTCTGATTGTTAAATGGAGGTCGAAACCGAACATTTTGAGGATTAACGTACTGCCGTGGTGAATGAACTCGGTTCATGTTTACAATGTCATTGCAAAATTGTCCATACATGATTCATAAAGTGTTCTTCGGTTTTAGATTTTAATTTAATTTAACCTTAATAGTTAAATTAAAATCAGCAGTAGCAGTGAAATTAAAACCAATCAATATATGTTCTTCTTTATAATTAATGGCGTTACCCTTATGGGTTACGTGAGAATCCAGTAATAATATAAAAAAGAAATGAAACTATTTTTTGAGGTTGTAGTAGTAGTATTATAATTCGTCCATGGGACAGGCGAAGGAACTAAGCCATACAGCCACATCTTGGATTTTTGAGGTTGTTTCGTAGTTTCTTATCACAGTGTTTTGTCTATGGACGTTTCAAAGAAAATACTTTTTTATTGTTTATGTTAATGGCTTTGGAAACATCCATATATCCACAGCCACCACATCTTTAGTACATTGTTCTTTACAAAGGTAAAATATGCTTTTATAGGTATTTTAATTCGACAAGAATATAACTAGATGTCCGGGCAGAGTCTCAAAGATGGCCGAAAACATAACGCCTCACTTCAAAATGCGATCTTATTTTGATTTAGTTTGTTTGCGACGGCCCTAACGTTCGGGCATATTACAAAAAACCTAGTTTCTGTAAAGTTTTCAATTATAATGTGTGCAAAGATAAAAGATTTTATAATGAGGAAGTATTAAAAAATAAGAAAGCACAAAAAAGCATTTCCACTAGATGGCGTCTCTATCAAAAGTTGATTTTTGCAGGAAAAGGATGGAACAAAAATAGTAATTTCCGTGCCTTTTAACTAACATATTGTAGTGTACCTACATATAAATAAATATATATGCATAAGGTAAAATATTTGTTAAAGTAAACATTATAAAAAAAAAATATATTTAATTAAATTATATGTACAAATACCAAATAACACAATATATAAAATTGTTTAACATGTTAAATTTAAGAAATAATATTTAATGTAGTTGTTCGAATTGGTGTTACACAAGGACAAACACATATAGTTTCTTTGTATATAATTTTGGCGCTCGCACTAGCTCGAGACCGCGCGGCGCGGCGTCGCGGCTCGCGCATGCGTGAGGTAGCCCGCGAAATACGAGAGTCGCGTCCACAGATTATTATTATTGAGATGCATGTAACACGCTTTGTTTTAATTAAAATTTATTGTTTATATTATTAGATGTCAACCTGAAGTAGTTTCACATTTCTTTTGGCTCACGTTCGCCTTCTTTATTCTACAGCATTGTGTATACTTTTGTGCTTATCTTTTATTACTTTTTACACATGTGAGTGGTGAATAAAAACTTTAAAAATTCAACATAATTTATTTGGAGTTACATCACCACCACCTCAATATTAAGACTAAAATTTGTAAAGTTTTATTCACAGACTATTAGGACGCCAACGCATCAAATAATAATCAAGTGGAATATGACATAGGTGAAAAAAAAGGGAAGTTAAAGAACCACAATACATAAATAGACAAGTTTTCGAGAATTTATGCTCATAAAAAAAAATATCCTACCCCCGCTGAACATGCCCTAAAAATATTCTTATAAGCAATGAGGAAGTATTTTAAGAAAAATAAAAAAGGATTAAAAAAGTACCTCACTAGATGGCGACTCTACTAAAAGTTGATTTTTTGCAGAAAACGAAAGGAAAAAAGATAGTCATTTCCGCTCCTTTTAACTAACATTTTAAAAAACTGAAATTTGAAAAGTTCGAAACTTAGATATCAGTACAATACAAATACGAAAAACTACAAATATAATACAAGTTGGTTATTGAGTTTTGAAAACTATTTTGCTTTTATACATGAAAGATAACTGTAAGGATTGTCATGGAGAAATCAAGAAAGTACCGTAGCGACATGTCGTTTGATTTCGGGAACTATTTTTTCTAAAATACTTCCTCATTTCAATAGTAAAATTATAAAAGGTATGTTATTTCTTGTATGTTTAAAGATAATAGAATTAAAATACTGTTTATTGTAAGTATTGCAAAAATATTTGTCATACTAGTAATGAATACTTAAATGACCAATGGCTTGGCGTTAAACATGGCTTATTTTTATGGATATTTAATTATTTATCGGTGAGCTTGTTTGACTTGAAATTTTGACAATTTTGTTTTACCGAGCTTAGTCTTATTTTAATGTTTTTTTTTTTAATTCTTTTTAGAGTAACTAATTTGCAAATTACATTATCTTAAATGAAAATAAAAATATTAAGTTGATGCATTACAAGATTACTTTGAAGTCGATAATGTATAGGATGCCATGTGTGGCCCATTTTCATAAACAACTTGAATAATTAGTAAGTTGAATGAAATGCGCTTCATTGTACGTATGGTATAATAAACTGGTGAAAATTCAGTGTTAACAATTATCATTTATTTAGTACATAAAGAATATAAAGGTTATTAATAACAAAATTATTCATGGAAATTATCTTTTTATAATCTATTTAAAAAGAAAATTTCCATACTATTATTTACTTTATTTTATCAGTGACTTGTAAAAAAACTGTAATATACTATCCTTTTTTGTATAAACTTTGGTTTCGGTCGATGCACATTATTATTTAAGAACTGCAAAAACTTGACAACTTAAATGTCAATTTAGTCTCTGAGATTAAAAAACAGACTAGTTTGTGGTAGAATAGTTAATATATTTCTATGTGAGAAGTAAGGAATGAGAGTGTATTTATAAGTTATATCAGGAAGTATTTTAAAAAAATTAAGAAATCACAATTTATGTCACTAGATGGCAGCACAAATTGTAGGATCTAAATGTCAATGAGGAAGTATGAAAAAAAAACATTAGTACCCGAAATCAAATTCGATGTAGCTACGGTACGTTCTTGATTTCTCCATGACAACCATTGCGGATTTTTTTTCAAGTTTTAAAGTAAATTAGTTTTCAAAACTCAATAAACAACTCATATTCTATTTGTACTTTCTCGTATTTGTATTAATGTCTAAGTTTCCAACTCTTCCAATTTCAGGTTTTTAATCTGTTAGCTAAAAGGAACGGAAATGACTATCTTTGGTCCATTCGCAAAAATCAACTTTTGCTAGAGTCTCCATCTAGTGGAAGTGCGTTTTTTAGTGCTTTCGTTTCTTTAAATACTTCCTCATTAGTACGAGTTACGTAAACGCAACTCGAATAATACGAAAAAATCCTTAAATAAATTTCTTTTTTATTTGGATACTAACATGGAAGTGAGCATAGAGAAGGTTGTTTAAAAGTAATGGAAATAAATAGAATTAATGTTGTGAAATAATTAAAAGTGTTATTTAGCTACGGAAAACAATAATATTACCGTGAAATATTTTAGGAAGTTTCATTATAATATGTAACAATAGTTCTAAAAAAAAAATTACAACTAGCTAAGTTAGTTTTGTTGCTATTAGTTTTTGATTGAACTTACAGCAATAAAACTACATCAAGTCTCAACAATATTTTTATTTTATGAGTGGATAAGGTTTAATCATCAACAACAAAATAAATAAAAACGATAATTATAATAAAATTCCGTTTATTATCCGACTTACCCGATATGTATCAAATATACTAGCCATTCGTACATAATATCATGACTACTGGCTAGAATAATGCTTATGTAAAGTATAACGTCTTGTCTTTGCGAAATTAAGAATAAAAAAAAACTATGATCAGTTATCAAATCTTATATTCATAATAGGGTATTTGACACTTTTCTGAAATTTTTTTAAATCGTTGTTTGCTACATCATAAACACACTGTCATAATATTTCATTGGAATCTTTTCTATTTTTGGTGAAAATAATTGTTAAAATTTAAATAGCCAAAAGTGCGCGAAAAACGCTTCTTTATGTAATGGCGCTGATCGTGACGTCACAGGCCAGTAAATATGTCAAATCGTTTAGTAACTACTATCTTTAGAGTAAATTGAAATAATTATTTAGAAGAGAAATTGAAGTCGTAGTGCGTATTTTTTACGTTTTTTATTTTCCTCTGCTCTGCTGGTTTTCTTTAAAAAATGAGTTACACGTGGTGCGTAGTGCCACAATGTACTAATACTTCTATAAATAACAAACAAACTTCGAGTCTAGAAGAACATAGAGTCACAATCACAATAGTATAGTAGCTATATAGAGTAGAGATGGGTGATAAAATTAGGTAAGGATTAGCTAAAAGTATTGAAACTTTTTATTACATTTGAAGGTTTTCTTTTTGTTTTTTCTTCGTCATAAACATTTTACGACTCATTTATATTTGTTGATAGGGCTCGCACTTTACAGCCTGTCGACCTACAGATGGACGAGACATTAGTACGAAAAATAATGTTCTACTTTTTTTATACATGCATGTATAAAAAAATAGAACCGAGGATTTTTTTAAAGTTAGTTTTGAACTTGGAGAACAGTTTATATCATCAAAATCGACTTTGTAATTTTGAATTATTATATTAAAGTTCAAGAAATGAGAAAAACATGTAAGTTTCTCTTTTTTTCTTGAATTTTTTAAAAAGCTTAGTAAATGATTATTTCTTTCTGTATTTCTTTTTGGCAGTTCTTATCAGTAGAAGCGGCAAAGTATTCTATTATCAGTAAATTACTATAAAGTAATCGTTACCTACAGGCATCGATATTTTATGTATCTTTCTAACACTACTTTGACATGACAGCTGATGACGTAACAGGCCAGTAAACAGAATCGTGATTGGTTGTGACGACGACCAATTATAGGACGTTTTCGTCGTTGAATAAATTCCTAAAAATATTGCATTTTCTTTACGTTATTTTACTAAATCTAAACATGTTTTTTCTGCAGATGTTAAAAAATAAGCTTTATTGGATTATTATCTATCAGGATGACCACAAAATGCAACTTATTTTCGATAGTATCAAATATCTTATTAAATTAACTTAATAAAAATTCAGCAATAAACAAGAAACATCTGTTCGAAACGAACAGCAAGGTTATGATTTTAAATTTCAAAATCACAAAGACTCGTAAAGTTATTATCTACTATGCATACCATCGCTACTGAACTAGCATGTGGACGGCGGACGTCGAGCCAGGTGTTATGTTAATTCGTACGGTGGGTATGTGCTTGGGTAGGAACTTACAATAATACTGTCAATAATAGATTGACTTCATTAGAATAGATTGAAATCAGTTTTTTTGAAATATATTATTCCTTAGTAGTCATGCTCTTTTAAAAATCTCTGCGGTGGTGCCGTGTGTGTCGGGTTGTTACGTTCCCTCATATATGAGCGAAGCGATGGCTGACTCGTGCGTCAAGCTCGTCAACGGGTGCTGCCGTTTTTCACAAGTTCTATGTAACAGCCCTGACTGAATTAATTTTGATATTTATATTAATATAATTCGACGTTTGGATGCATAATGGCACATATGGAAATACTGAACATAAAAAAAGCTGAATTCTGCGCTCCGCTTTTTGTTCTTGATTCTAAACCTGATTTCGAACGAATCGAGTCAATTGAAGGCACGAGTAACTAATAAGTTCACATATAAACCAAACATCGTCCCTTTACACGTAACATAATAAATAACTTAAACTTACCATTCCAATAAATTAAAATTAATTTGAAAGTTTGATATTATAATAAAAATGAAACGATGTCATATTGATTAATTTTCAATACCCAATTTACTTTTATTACAAAAACAAAATTTACATATACAATTATCCAAACATCGCTAGTGACATCTAGTTTGATTTCAAGACCTAATTTTTATTTTTTAATACTTCCTCATTTTATTTGTAGGTTTTTATGTTTTAATTTCCAATAACTGACATTTCATTTGTTTAAATTTGGTAACGACTAGTTAGTTCTTTGAAACTTCTCTTTGTGCGGACGTTGTAAAATTGAGTGTGTTGTAACTTAATTTTTATTTGATGTTATATTTAATATGTAATATTTTTGTATGTTTTAGCTTAAGAACTTAGTTCCAAGCCAGAATAAATAAAAAAAAACATGATAATGACAACAAGTGACAGACTTAGTGACAGCTGTTGTGACCGTCAGTTACCGTACGTGATAACTGATATTAACTCTGTGTTACCGATTCCGTCAATGAATTTATAAAAATTATTTACCTACCGTATCATAAATGAAATTTAAGGATATAGCAATAAAAAATCGTAAAAAATGACTTCAGAATTAGAGGATAAATCGCTAAGATACAGAAGAGCACAGAGTGTGACTAAAGCAGAAGAAATTACTGCTAAAGAAAATAAGGCCCGTAGTCTCCAATTTGATAAACCGTAAGTTACTGTTTAATTATCTTACCACTTAGACTTTGCGCTTCGACCTTCGTAGGTCTATCAGGAAAAAAATGAGAGATTTGTAATAATCAGTAATACGCGTCAAAGCCAAAGTATTCGTTTTTTAGAAATTTGAAACTATTTCAGTTACCTATTACATATTGCTCTTGATAAAATACACTGTATTTTAAAACTAATTTCTTTTTTAGACTTCATAAGCCCAGAGATTCTCTATTTTCATGGAGCTCACAGTTCACAAATTTCACTGGCTTAGTCAACTGGGGATTTCTCATGCTGAGTATTGGTGGACTTCGTTTATTCCTTGAAAATATATTAAAGTAAGTACACAATGAATTCAGTATTCTTACTATATTGGATGCATGATTTTTTTCTTATTGTTCTTATTTGAATTGTATTCAAAGTAATTTACAATATAAAGTAAAAAATTTTTTAGCAACATTTAGAACTCGCATAGGTTCCAAGACTAAAATAAAACTACTACTACTGGATTTAGCATGAGAAATGTTACCTCATCCTCAATATTCTCCTGACCCTGTTATTATAGATTGCCATTTTTTCTCAAATACCTATGCATAGTAGTTTAATCTAAGGATGGATAGCTGACATTCCTATCTTTTTCTTACCCAACAAAATGGCAATTATGTGGAGTGAGAAAAGTTTTGCTTTTACTGCATTATATTATTTTCAGTCTAACAAAATAAATAGAACTTATGCCTACACTTGGTACCGTATTATATTTTATGAATATTGTATTAGATATTTTATGTATACTGTGCAGGAGTTTTATGTAGCTCTAAATTAAATATATATTATAGATATGGTATACGTGTTAATCCTTTGGAGTGGATAATAGTTTTGACTGGCTATAATGATGGGAATAAGCATCAGTATCCTTCAATTATACTATTGATTTGTAAGTATTATAACTCATTCTACTTTTTATTTATTGATTATTGTCTGATTTATGTTCACCCCTAATAACATATAATCATCAACTGTCTAAAATTTCATGTGGCCTCATAATAAATAATAGCCTCTTTTTTAACTATCAAGCTTTATCATAAGTAAGATTATTAGATAACAGTCACATTTTGGAGGATTATTCATGATTAATCATTTTCTGTATGTAGTGTTGTTTCACAAATTACAATATCTTATTTTATATTAAATATAATTTTTCCTTTGTTGTCAAATTTAATGAAGAGGTAGTTTTTAAACTTTGTTTATTTGTTAGAGATTATTATAAATATTCACATATGTGAAGTTACACAATATGCTACCAAACCTTAAGACCACATTCATGTATAAACTATGGAAGAATTATATATTTGACTTTATTATATTTTCTGTTTTATTGGAATTTCAGTTAGTGTGGTACCTGCTGTAACAAGTTTGCTTATTGAAAAAGCTATTGCTGTGGTAAGTCAAAATAATTATTATGAATCTATCTATGTATATGAAAATCAATTGCTGTTTATTTGTCTTGCTAAAACTCGAGATTTAGCTGACTTTGGTTTTGGAATGTTAGTTGTAGGCCAGGGAAGGTTTAAACAGTGAGAGGTGATATGTATGAAGTACACTGCGTCATTTAGTATGAAATATTTATATGTTTAAATAGATAATTTATTTGTGTTCTTGGTATAGGTTTAACAAGTACTGTTTATTTGCAGGATATAATTTCTGAGAAAATTGGTATTGGCTGTCAAATAACAAATATATTATTTGTGATCACACTACCTGTAGTTGTGCTGTATTACAAAGGCCCTGAATTTAGTTTTGGTATGTATTTTTTTCATTCTGTTACTGGTTGCTATATTGATATGTTTGTCATTGGTTTTTGTGAATCTTTCAGTGGGAATTTCAACAGTATGTATGATATATCTAATCATCTTTTTGAAATTGTGGAGTTACACACAAACAAATCATTGGTGCCGCAGTGGGATGAAGGGTAAACAAGCAAAGAATAAATTGAGAAGGCAGAGTTTGTCTGCACCTAATTGGAGTAAGTATAAATTTGTTAATAGATATTATTGATTAAATATCGAAAATAAAATAGTGCAATGAAATATTTTTACTCAATTTTTAAAAGCCAATATAGAAGGTAGATATTGAAAACAATGAGTTATTATATTTGATCAATTTTGCATTCACAGTGCTATACTGAAAAATATTATTTATGAAGAATGCAAAAAAAAATCACAATGGTGTACTTAATAATTTAATGAAAATTTACTCAGACTAATTAATTTGGTTTCTGATGTTTACAGACAAATTAATACATGCTGAACATGAGCGTAAGTCGACAATGTTTGTTGTTTCTTTCCTGTTCTATCTTCTTTGCTATATGTTTGTTTATAAAATGGTCTGTGCTTCGTTTTTTGTTAAGTGTGTAATAGAACTTTAATTATTTTATTTGAGAAGTCATTAATTATGCCATTTTTATTAACAAAAAGAAATCAATTAATATATATAAACTTAAAACGAATTGCGAAAAATAAATCCGGTCAGTAAAGGATAACCAATCAACTTTTATTTCACGAAAATGCAGGAAAAACGAATTTCAATATGATATTAACTAGTTTAAAAAATAGGAATAATGAGAAACTTTTGTCACTCTTATTAGAAATGATGAATGTACAAAGTGGGGGTAGTTAAAAAAAATTGTTATTTTATTCTATAGATATACACTAACTATTCGATGAATTGTGTACTATTACATGAATTCAGTATTACCATTTTAAACAGCAAAAATGGGAGTGGGCCTATACAATCAAAATACCAATGGTCCTGTTTAAAGCTTAATGCAATAATAATAATAATTAATAATGATGACTAAGTAATCGAATATTATCTGCTTTTTTTATATACTTTATTTTTATTATTAGTTCAGGGTTAATAAATTTATGCTATTGACTCATGGTATCTGATGATGACGTAGCAATGGCTACAATCCTTCCCTTACGTCAGGCTTTCAAGGTCAAATAATATATAGGTTTTGAATTCTTTGGCCTAGTTTACATATTTTATAGAGGGCATTCATAAGTTATATATATAAACTATGCCTTTTGTTTGTATGCTTTTTAGTTGCTTTTGTTTTAGATGTTTTAATAAACTTAAAAAGTGATTATACACAGTTAATTTGGTAAACATCAGCAAACTTGCAAGAGTATTTAGTCCTATTATATATTTTGTTAACATCACATTAGCTTTATTTATGACTCTTGATAATTCGTTACATTTAGCTTTCATACAAAAATAAATTTAAATTTAATTTAAACTTAAAAAATAAATACTAACTACGACACAAAAGTATTTTTTTATGATATCTATGTTAGCTTTTAGTCCTGCGCGGTTGCTGGTGTTTTACAAATAACCCTGTATAAATTTCGGGTCAATTGTTAAAATGGGCAGACCGCTATTTCTCTTTATTTACTAACTTTAATTCATTTGTTAATTATATCTGCGCAGATATATCGTATGTATGTAATTCAATTACGTGTAGTTTGTGGCGCTGTCTACGTTTGTAGACGAAAATCACAGGCACCAATTCTGTACAGTGACAGTGTCAAAAGAAGTGTCCTGTCATATTAAAAAAAAACCCAAACGTTCATTTAAAAACAACAATTAGACAAACAATTGAAAGACAACTAGCATTATATCTTTTTATTATATGTATATTAGTAAAACAACGTAAAATATAAACGTTCGTCAAAATGTATTGCTTGATAATTACTTTAAAAATTGGTTGGAGAAGAGATAACTATAATAGGACAGAAGTGCGGTCATAACCGGAACCGAAATGAACGTGGTACTTAACCAAGTTAATACAAGCATTCCTAACCAGGAATATTTGTATTTTAATATTTTCTTCATCAGCTCTTTTACGTGGTCATTGTAGGGGCTTAGGCCTTCCTTGAGAATGATTAATAATCTATCATGATCTGATTGTTCAGATATCAGACATCGGCCCATTATAACGTTTGTTCCACAACATATATGACTGTTTGAATGTGTCTTAAATAATAAGGTAATCGAGTTTATTTACCTTGACTGCACAATTTTAGAGCAATCACACGATATTAATTTGAAATATTTGCTTGGCATATGTGTCTTACTAGCCATTTTTTTCTGATCACAAAAATGGCAAATTGTAATAATAGCTTTTAGGTATGGTGTAAAAAGTTTTGAATGTTATAGCGATTTAAATACAAAATAAGACTTGTGGTTAAAAGATGTTGTTGAATGAAAGACGTCCAGTAAAATGCTTAATTTCGAATTTCGCAAAATTTTTAGTGTAGTCAGTGTCTAATTAGGCGTGACATGTGACTTTATGAATGAATATTAGTTTTATTTTATTTTCACTGCTTTGTATTAAGGTGTGGAAGTGATTTTCATAACGTGGCTTTACTTTATTTTAATAATTTACATTACTGAACTCAATGGTGGTGGTAGATTAAGTGTGTATGGCCACTCTAGGCAATTCGTAAGTCGACTTGGATAATAGTTTCACGAGGCACGCAGGAGTGACAAATTTATATATTTAAAGAGCGCATTAGTATAGCACTGATTTACCGACTTTTGCTAATTTATTTATATCCTTCGGCTAAATATGTTAAGACTTTGGCAATCAATGGCGTAACTACAGGTTGGCAAGTCAGCAAAATGCCACGAGGCCCTCAGCCATGGGCCCCTGGTCATTTAATATAACATATTTAGTAAAGTGCTTCTTTATATTTTGAGGAGGATATTGAAAGGTATAATCTGCAATTGGCTTATTCTGTTTATCCACCTTGAAACAGCCACCCTAAGGTGGATACTCGGAAACGCGTGTTTATCTATCCACCCTGAACAGGGTGGATAATAGGAATCCGCATCATAATTTTACTTCCGATTTTCTCCTCCGCATTTAAAAAATGTATAAACCCAGTCCAAGATACTCGGTACCTAACATTAAAAAAAAAGATTTATTTTGTTAATGAAAATGTGATTTTTATAAATACACGACAGAAGCATTTGTATAGTAGACAATTTTATTCCACTGTACTTGGGGTAAAAAATCGGAAGAACATTCAAAAGTGACTTCCATCTATCCACCCCGTTCAGGATGGATAGATGAACACGCGTTTTCGAGTATCCACCTCAGGGTGGCTGTTTCAGGGTGGATAAACAGAATTAGCCTCGGCAATCATGATATCTGTATTAGTCAATCATAATTTTTAAAGCAAATTAAGTGTGGTGTTCCAAATTAACAATCTATATGTTTTATTTATATATAGTATAAAAAATAGTTTGCCGTCCAATTTCCCAGAGAGTTTTGATGAAGACAAAAACGATGCGATTGCCGCGGCGCGCTTGGTCAAGTATCCCGATAATCTTAATCTGAAAGATTTGTTTTATTTCCTGTTGGCACCCACGCTCTGTTATGAGTTGAATTTTCCCCGCACGACACGGTTAGTCCTGCATGTATTTTTTTTATAAATGTTAAGATGGCGGGTCCGTTACTTATTGAGAAAAATGACTACCATTTTTTTTTTAAATGGAGTCGTTATCAGTTGTAGTCATGGATTGGTGAGCGATAAATTTCGTAAATTAAGTGAGTTTATCTCGCTTGGTTCCAGCTAGTAAAAAAATGTACTTGAGAGCGGTTTTAGTGTCTTAAAATTGGTATTGATCCCGCCATCTTTGCATTTATACTTTTTGCCTTTCCTCACTATGATTTATGTATGCGTTTAATAATTGTTAATTTGATTCGGCTTTTTATAAGTAGATAGTGACTATATGCCATCTATGGAATAAAATAGAATACCTAGTTGCAACAAGTGAGACATTGGATAATTATATGTCCACTCGTGTGAGCGCTTTGGGAGGGCCCTTATTAAATGTGGATATGAATTCATTACACTACCTAATTGAAATAGCCGACTCGGAATTTTACAACATGCAAACTTAAATACTTTTATTTGTTGTGTTGCAACCTCAACAGATTCGTACCATTTCCATACAACTTAAACTGATGTATTTAATTCGTGAAAATTTTTTCAATCTTGACGCTCTGTATGAAATGAAACGGAAAAAAAAGCAGCCTTTTCTGAGTTTCTTGCCGGTTCTTCTCGGTACAAGGTCTTCCGCCGTAGATTAACGAACCGATGGCGTAGCTCTCGACTTTCACAAGTGCTTGTAACAACCTAGACTGAATTAATAATTTTGATTTTTTTGATTGACCAAATACAACATGCAACTGTGTGTATAACATACTAAGTGTATTACACTAATATGTTTCTGTTGCGACACATAAATGTGTTTTCACATTTATCTAACTTTGCTTTTTCTAATTAATAAGGTGTTATGAATAATCTAATGAAATTACAGAATAAGGAAGCGATTCTTGGTGAAACGATTGCTGGAGGTTATTTTTGGAGTGCACCTTGTGTTGGCGCTCTTCCAGCAGTGGATGATACCGTCAGTTACCAACTCTGTTGATCCGTTTACTGATATGGACCCCATCAAAATAACTGAGCGGTTGCTTAAGCTTTCCGTAAGCACGTTTGAATATATTACAAGGTTTTATTTAACTTGTATTTTATGAACGTTCGTTAAATCTTGCCGCTGAATTTCAAAACTTATTCTTATTCTTAATCGATTAAGACGAGGTTAAGTTTTGATAACAATGCATGGTTAGTTAAGTTACACCATTTTAAGTCTTTATCATTTATTTTTACAGCTTATATTTAAAAAAAAAAACAGGTAACTAGTATTAATGTATTTTAAGATCACACGCGCGCAAAAAAATAGATAAGCTTTGCGAAAAAATGTCCAAGTCTTAATAATAATATTGTAAATTCTACACATAAAAACTAGATCATTAAAAGTTACATAGTTCGTTCTGTCACAGTGTTCGAGCAATTCTGATCGAGAAATGGTCCAGCAACTCACTTGTATCCCATTTGGCGTTGACAATGTTATATAAAATACAATATTAGGTGTCCATTATAAGGTGGATGACTAGAGATTGTTATATTTAAAGTACTCTCATAATGATAACTAAAAATAATAAAAAAATATTTTTAAACACGAGATTTTACTTAAAATACTTTAAAAAATGAAAAATAAATTTTGAGGTACCTTAATCTAACCCATCATGCATATAATTTATTTTTTTTTAAAATAGAATGCTTTTTTCTTTTATATTGAAGTGTCAGATACACTTCAATACACTTCGGCGTTATAACAAGCTAAGGGATTATGTATAATTTTTTTTTTGCAGGTACCCAATCACCTAATATGGCTTTTTTTCTTCTACCTATGTTTCCATTCGTTCTTAAACCTGATGGGTGAACTCCTTCACTTCGCCGATCGCAAGTTTTACGCTGATTGGTGGAACGCGAACAACATATCCGTATTTTGGAGCACGTGGAACTTGCCCGTGCACATGTGGGCGGTGCGTCACGTCTACATACCCATCACTCAAATGGGGTATAGTAAAGTCGCTGCTAGCACTGTAGTATTCTTTATATCGGCGTTTTTCCATGAATATTTGGTGAGTATTCTCAAGCGTTCATATTGATTTTAGAATCATCAACGTTCAAGTACTAACTGAAAATAAATATAGAGCATACAGCAAAATATGACATAATTACAGGTGACCACAGCATGCATCAGTACTCTTATCAATTTAGGGGCTAGTTATTATGGAACAATAACCAAAACCTTAAAAAGTTACTATATATCATCCTCTTCGATCTATACAAATATGAGAAAAAGAAATACATTAATAGTTAGCGTCGATTACATCGTTAGTTTTTTATTTCTTTGAGTGGTAGTAGTATTTACATTTGTTTTCGGTACTTGTACGATACGTTCAAAGAAAGAATAACGTGGATAAGTAATAATGTAGTGATATTATTATTGCTAAATTCAAAATTGTCAGACAGTTATCAAAACTTTTTGAATTTATTTACCGTGCGTACTAAGTTGTCGAATAGTTTTGTAATTGGATCTCATTTAGGCCATGAAATCAGTTTTTATATTAAAATCCGTATGAAAATTATAGTCAATTGATTCCTATAAAGGTCCACATTAATGTTACGTTTACAAATAACCCAAATTCAATGATAATGTATTATAAGAAATCAAAATACATAAAGCGTTTTTTGTCCAAGTGTAAGACGCGTATTCTCTTATCGGCTGAAATATTATCGGATTATGTATTTTAATGTTTTTATTGTCAGTGTGTAATAGATGAGTTGATTGTTTATGAAGACAAGGTAAACAGATCATCGTTGATTAGCATTATTAATATCAGTAGTATTAGAGTACGGTTAGCAGCAAAAATATCGTTTCAAACTTAACCCATATCATCCCAAGCTTATCTAGAGTTGATCGATTTTGATGAAAATTTTATCCTAGCACCTAATTAGGTATGTAAATATAAATTGATGATTAAAAAAAATTTTTTTAATTTATTTATGGAGTTTTGAAACCGATCGACTAATCGATCAGTAGGAATATATATGCATGTCTTGTACTAATATGTACATTGGGTGATTGTGAAATAAAAAGGAGTTTTTAGCTGTATTTTATTTATGTTATAATAGAAAAGACTCTTATGACTATTTAAACAATATAATGGACAAAAAAAGCTATTTTGTATGAAAAGCAACAGTACATTTTTGATGCAAAGCGACATTGCACTTTGAGCATTTCATAAATGTATTTTTGTGGCATAAACCACACCGGGTTGGTTTATCCTGCTTGATAATATGATGAGCTTTTCCATCTAGCCTTATAGAGTCAGGTACCGTGGACGAACTTTTCCGAACTTATCGTTTGGTGGTAAATTATTATTGTCAGCGACATGGAAGTAACGAAGCAAATCTTCAAATCTATTTCTAGACATGAGAGATGACACGACTTGAAAATTGCAATCTACTTGTTGTTCCCAATACATGCGATACCTTGCCACGCTGTTATACCCCGACAATAACAGTATTCCGATGAAATGTTTGATTTCAGTAATTGTCACCCTAAAGCCATGCTTGCCTTTCTGAATTCCATTTTTTTCAGTTTCAGAACGCAATAGTTCAAATACCTCTTCATCATAAAATAATTCGAAAAACTGTACTGGAGTTTCAATATTTTCAAGGAAACTAGGCATCTCAGTCTCTTTTTCCTGTTTATCTGGAATATCGATAGCCCTCCAACGTCTTAATGCAGCAGCGCGCTTTTTTTTCGTTGGCGGTAGTTTTACTGACAAGGTGCTGGGTAAGGGATCATCCAATAAATTGTCTTCAACATCAATACCAGTTTCTGAAGCTACGGTGGCCCTTAGTTCGGCTTCTGCTAACAGTTGTTGCCTTGACAAATTATTTATATGGGTAAATTCCTCATCACCACTATCTTCATCGCTTTTGTCATAATTATCCGGCGGAGTAATATAGAATATCAGCTGATAAGACATCTGTGTCATCTTCCAGATGTGAAATTTTTTCATTTACAGACAAACTGTAAGAAAACAATACAAATATCTGAGTAAAAGAAAGATAAAGAAGTATAACCATACACGGGCATAACATCCTACTGATCGAAAATCGATCACTTTATAAATTATAATTATATCTATCCACATTTCATTTATATTAATTTTACCACATTACAATATTATAATACACATTATGTTTAATATAAAATCATAGAAATAAATAAAATAATAATAAAATAAAGCGAAAATACTTACATTGTTCGATGAGACATATTTTTGAGTGAAAATTGCCGCAAATACACTTGAACTTTAAGAAAATGCGCGCCAATTGTAAAACGTCAAAAATATAATTTGACAGCCATTAGCATCAAGATTACCAACACTTAAAAAATAACAACGGATGCGGTCCGGATTTCTCTAAAAAAAATAATAAGTCAACCGATCGACTAATCGATCACTAGGAAGATATGGGTTAAATGTAGTTTTTCTGTATTGATAATTGCTTACCGATACCTACATCTGTAAAAAGAACTACGATTTCTAAGACAGATAACTATTCAGTTATACAAAAAAAGAAATGATGTTCAACTTCGTCGATAATCGCTAGAAATCGAAATATGAATCCATAAAATTTTGAGCAATATCAGTTATCGATAGCGGGAAAATAAAAATATTTCTTAACTTTAAATCGTTTTGGTCCCAGCTGCAGTTAAAATCACCTAACCATCCTTAATGGGCTCACGTGGTGCGTTATAGCCCATTTTCTGTAGTCTCGTAGTAACGTTGTTGACATCAGGGCCGGATTAGCCACGTAGCAAAAGTAGCTAATGCTACGTGCCTCGCGCAATGGGGAGCCTCGCTATGTTTTAATTTTTCAATTCAATGTTAAATAATGCAAGAAATAAAATAAGCCACGCTTCTGACTAGTCATATTTTTAAGTATGAACATAAACTGACAAATAAAACACAAGTCACACATTAGTTGTGTTGTGTTATTCGGAAAGCAAAGGATGACTTTTTGTTTTGGTGATTTGCTACGGGCCTCGCTATGGCTTAATTCGGCACTGGTTGACATACTGATATATTTGCAGGTAAGCGTTCCACTACAAATGTTCAGGATCTGGGCGTTCTTAGGTATGATGGTGCAGCCGCCCTTAGCGGTTATATCGCGGTGGGCGGAAATAAGGCTTGGCGCACGCTGGGGCAACATTATGGTGTGGGCATCGCTCATACTGGGACAACCCCTAGCCATCATGATGTACTACCACGACTACGCGATAGCACACTTTAAACCTATACAGGAGTAAACTATTATAAGGTACTTACTTTTATAAGCATAGGCAAAATCGCTGGCAAAATGACAAGTGAACTACTTATTATTATACATTGGAAAAGCAATAATAAACTTTATTATATTTAGAATAAATAAACATATATATTGAGTCTGTTGAGAAAGATTCTTAAAAGCCAATTGCCATCGGCTTACCCACCGGGAAATCAGGACCTTCTAAAGAATATTTAAGAATAGTAAGCTCGCGGTGTGCTTTATCCTTTGCTAGTGATGTATATGTCGCAGCCAACTGACTAATAATCAGCCGTTCGATTGGGCTGCTAGTTTTTTAGTTGAATCATTATAACTGTTGGTCCGTTCAACAAGACGGCTGATTCAAAAGCCGCCACAAAGTTCATTTAGTTTTCTTTTTCTGTTAAAACAAGAATCTCGAAATTTAAGACGCTACGCTTCACGATCGTCTTAAATTTCTAACCTATCACGTGACCTACAGGACCAAAATAACTTCTTTGTTTATTATTTTTTGTCGTTATTAACAATTATAGCATTAAACTACGAAATCGTAATAAATATGTAGAAACAATCGCAATAATTTTTGATAGATAGCGCTGAGACCGTCTGAATCGCGGTATATCTTGTCTTTCTGTAATTGTGTTAGTATTAAAATTTAAATATGAAAATTTAAGATTAACCCACTTGCGTTATCGGTGTGTTAATTGAATGACGCCTTTCAACTAACTTGGCTGCGATATATATATATGGGTACGGTAATGCAATTAATAATAATCAGTCTTTATTAATAAATACCTTATGATGTAGTAAATGCAAGAAAGCGTTAAATTCTATACTTTCATCGTTTTTTATTGATAATAATTTATTATCTTCTTTGGAAATTGTAAGAAAACAAGTAATGTTGAAAGTTAAGTCACTACGCATCACATGGTTATAGCTACTGAAATGTAACCATACCGCGTGAATCGGAAATAAATAAAATTAATTGAAATAGTCGCTGAAGTAAAAACAATTATTTTTGATTTTTTTATCGTTAATTTAACGTAAAATATAATGATTAGTATTTATATGTTATTATTTTTCAATTAATCACACTATAAAATTAATGTTTAGTTTAAGAACTAATTATTAGTTTAGTTAAGACAGTGCATTGTAACACTACCTTTGGTTGAACCATAGTAATTATTTCTGATTATGAAATTTGGTGCCATGCTATTTAAAAGTTAGATTACTTCAGGAATCATTTGTTGCTGTAGGTACCTATAAGCATATCGTTAATTTTAAAACATATCCATTTATGTTTATATAGAATATATAATTTTTATATTATTTATTTTCATATTACTTGCAACGTTCCTTTAATTTTCAATAGATTTTAGACATATTTTTTTATAAACTCACATATAAGTTATAATGTAGGTAGCCCATAGAAACGGAAGTATTAATGGAGATTCTTTAGCTAATATATATTATAATATGTAAGACCGAAAAGATTATATAAATCTGTGTGTTAATTGTCTAATTTTAAAACCCATCACAGTCGTTCTTAATGGTATAGAGATTTATGGAATAATGTAACTTTTAAAGTCACAATCGGTTTTGGAACGAATTATGTTTTGTAAACTTGTCGAAAGATTGTATTTAACTCTTTAGTTTGTTATTTCTCATTCGCTATCTAGCTTCAGCTTGAAGTTCGTGAATATCTTTCAAATGTTAAATTGAAAGGCGTTGCGATAGATTTTAAAAGAGAAAAATCTGTCACTATTTAATGGATTTCGAAGGGATTATAAAGTCGATTCTTAGGAATATAATAAAATGGGGAAGCAATTGTCAAAATGGCACTAGCGTAGCTTCATTTTAAAAGGCATAAAAACACGTAATATAACGGTCTCTACTCTGAGTCAGTAAAACGGTTTCTTTAACGCCATTTCGTAGTTCTAAGAAGTATTATGTAGAGTAGTAAAGCATAACACATTGGCTGTTCCCAGTCATAAAGCAGCATGATATACCATTACCACGCTAATCGAAAGCAAAAGCTACGACAGTGCCATTTGCCATGTACACCCGTTGTCAATATTTATATTTGTATTTTTTGTACTGTAATAGCAATAGATACTATAACTTTATTGGAATAATATATTTACAGGGAATTGAAATTATATTGAATAAACATTTACAGGGAATTGAAATTATATTGAAATTATAAATATTTACTTCATGCCAAATCTAATTGAATTGTATATTTTGGGAAATCTAGAATAATGGGATATAGGTAGTTCTTAATTGGTGCATTTTTTATTTGTTAATATATTTTTTATGTAAAGTATTTATATAATATCCAAACATTATCTTTAAGACTGAAAGTGCCTTTTATTTATGTCTTATTTATAGAATATTTATATTTTGTATAAATCATACATTGATATCACATTTATCAAACAAGAGACTATTGCCTTACACGATAGAATTAATGTCAATTTTAGTGCATGTTAGACAAATTAATATTAGTCACACTAATGTAATAAATATACCAATGAATTGTAATTTTCGTTGAATATTTTATAAGATAGTAAGCAAAGTAATTATTTAAAAGAATAATGAATGTGTCATAATGTGCTAAATTATATCTGTTTTTATACTTATTTTTATTATATTGAAATAAAAACGTTTTACGAAAAATTTATAGATTTTCAATTTCATCACTTAACTATAAACCCTCGATGAAACTTTTTTTTATTAGAAATAGCAATAATATATGTAGCTTTTCTCTTATGCTAGGTACTTTATGAAACTGATTATAGTTTTTTCTTATTGATAAGTTTATTATCAATAATATCAGTAATGCGGTATGCGGCGCCTTGGGTTCGATATTTGCGTAATATGAAAGCTTATAAATATGTCAATATATAAAGTAAAAAAAATCTGTAGAATACTAATCATTGCAAGATTAGGAGGTTCGTATCGCATTGATAAAAAAAGTTGACGAAACTAGCGCTACTGCGACGAAAAACATTGATTCAACCATACAGGAAATTTTCGGTTATTCATAACGTTGAATGTTTTAAATATAACCAACGTGACTTTCGACATGCTTTGACTCTACGAATAGATGTGTCGCCTCTATAATGAGGCCGCCTGAATAATGAGTAGGTATTTAAAAAATATATTAGTTTTCGAAATCAAACTAGATGTCGCTACGGTACGTTCTTGATTTCTCCATGACAACCTTTCCGGTTTTATTTCAACTTTAAAAGTAAATTAGTTTTCAAAACTCAATAAATAACTCATATTCTATTTGTACTTTTTCGTATTTGTATTGATATCTAAGATTCAATCTTTTCAAATTTCATTTTTTTAATATGTTAGTTAAATGGGAGAGAAATGACTGTCTTTGGTCCATTCGTTTCCCGCAAAAATCAACTTTTGCTAGAGTCGCCATCAAGTGGAGGTGCTGTTTTAGTGCTTTCGTTTTTTTTAATACTTCCTCATTCTATTACGATATACGATTTGATATCTCATATTTATAAATATCAGATATCGATCGAAATACCGAATCCGACGTATCGCATCGTTGCAGCAATTAAAACATATAAAATTCTTAATTTAATAGTAGAATGACAGTTTGTAACCGATATACCTTTGACTTAAATGCGCAATTATATCGGTCGTTGACCGGTTATCGTTTAAAGGTCGTACAGACGCAATCTACATTCACAATCTCAGAAGATTACTAGATGTTGCTTGTGTGACTAGAAAACTACATAGAACTTATATAATTTCTCAGTTCACGTGGTCAGATAATCACACTTAAGCATATTTTTTATTATTTAGCTATATCATATATTTTATATACAGTCAACAGCACTAATTGTCTGTTAACTGTAATTTCTCCACTTTATTTAAACCTTATTACATTGAGTGTAGGGTACAAAATTTAACATCATTGTGGTAGCCCGACAGCCGTGTATATTTAAATTAAATTAAACTTAACAAAAAAATAAAAACTATATATTAGATAACCAGAGATCTTAATCTTGAGAAGAGTGATAACCTTCCACAGAAAATTTCCACAGAAAAAAAAAAAAACTATGGTTTAGGAGCAGCTAGGAGGCTAACAATTAACGGAATTACTCATTGTATTCAGGGAATCTCTTAAATTACAAATATTCCGTCTCCCGATTCCAATGAATGAGAATGTTGTTTATCCAAGCCATATTACAACTTCTTTCTTTTATTTTTTAGTTCGATTTTGACAATCGTGTTTTTCATTATATATTTTTTTAATACCCTTTAGAACTTGTTAGTTATTTCTGTTGAACGTTCGTGTAAAATAGAAAAAGCATTGTAACTACGAGTGAGGTGGTTGCGCGGGGCGTGGATCATTGGCCGCGCGAGGAGCAGAATCAATTGATGAAGGGCTTTGATAGTACCGCGAACGTGCTCCGCCCTCGGCCAACCGCTCTCACGGCCCCGGCATCAGCGCTCCATTGTTAACCGTTATCTGAATAATGACAAACATATTGATTAAAACAAGTTTAAAATGAATTTAAAATATTGTGTCTCACAAAAAATTACAAATAAGCAATATAGTAAGAGATATGTCTTTCTTTTACTGCTTATAATGTTCATTGTTATATGAATGTGTTTTCTGATAAACTACTACTGACGTCGGCTTAGATGTAACTACTTATTTACATAGCTATGTATAGTAAGTTGTCCGAATCTAAGGCTGCTAGCAGCAGATGTAAGTAATGTCTCCAATGTTGGGATACAGGCCTTCCATGTCGCATGGAATCGATTGGGCGAATGGGCCATGACTCTCGGAGCACGGAGGAGTTGAGATAGTAATTTTTTAATCACCCATCCTATGACTTAGACTACCTGTACTTTACATTATATCTTTATAGTTAGATGATCTAACCAGGCATCATGTTATGAACTCAATTTATTTACCAAATCATAGAAACATAAGCAATTTAGAACTTTAATTTTTTAAATCTATGCATTATAACAACTAACATTGTTGACTTCTACAAAATGAGTAAAGTGTGATTGTGTATGCAGTGTAATAAAATCAGCGGTGAACTTGACGACAAGCAGAGCCCAACACGTCTACTTAAAAAAATCTACACCTTTTGAAGTAGATGGAACGCTGTGACAGGGATGTGCTCGACGTTGAATCCGAGGCTGAATTTATTACAAAATAGGACTGCTGTTATAGTTCACTAGTTATTTCTCGCGATTTCGTCCACGTGATTATTATAAAGAATTTTCATGATCGCAATAGTAGGTATCGTATTTCCAATCCGACAAACAAAAATAAAGTAAGAAACTACTCCTTTAGGTAGAATATGAAAGGTACATGTTGCAGCAATGTACTAGCAGGTAATATTAGGTGTTTACCTATGAAATTGCCGTTTTTCATGAAATAAATTAAGTGTATTTTTTTTCTACATTTTTTATTTCTATTAATCAAAGTAATCACCCATGTAATCAATGCATTTTTGGCAACGCATTGGTAGCTTATTGATTCCCTTCTTGGAGAAATCATTTGGACGGGAGGCAACAAATTCTTCAAAGGTATTTTGAACTGCCCCTAGGGTATTGATTTTTTCTCCCGCCAAGAAGTTATCCAAATTCTGGAAAAAGTAGAAGTCTGTAGGGGTAAGGTCTGGTGAGTACGGCGGATGACGGAGAAATTCCAACCCCAGCTCTTGTAGCTTGGAAACCATCTGCTGTGCAGTATGAGGTTGTACGTTGTTAAAATACAAGAGTTATTTATTGGTTACACAAAAGAATATATCAAATGTTACAAAATAGTGATTGTTTTCTCTGAAGTGCCGCGGCCTGATGCCATTTCTTACCCCATGCTAGAAATTCGTGTGTATTTGTTAAACTAAAATGTTATTTTAATTGTAGTTTTAATTAAATAATTGTAATGGAGTAACTAATATAAGTGTTGCTAATTATAAATGTAAATTGTCTTGTTGAACCTCAAGTCTCGGGGCATCTGCTGAAAACAGTGCCGTAGCAAATGTTGCTTCGACTCATACTGAGCAGAGGTCCGTTTGGTATAAACTATATATCTTTTGATTTTTTGCTATGTAATGTATTTTGTTACTTTGTATCTTATGCCAAATAAACGCTTTCTATTCTATTCTATACTTATGTTTACTAAACTAAATTCCTTGATATGTTCAATAAATTTAGTATTTCCATTTGACATCTATACATCTTTTATTTTTTTTTTTGTACAATTTGACATGATTGATGACTAATTAAATTGCAAATTGCACATATTGATGTAATTGAATAAAAAAATGTATGTACTGCGATTATAATAATTTTATTTGACTTTTTTTTTTAATTATTTACTTTAGGTATTTTGATCGATTGACTTGTACTGTAATAATTTTCTGAAGTTTTGACACAATCGTAATATTGTGTTTAAATGCTGTAACATGAATTAATATAATTAATATTGTTAAATTTGACACAATTTTATGTCTTTATGAAATATTTTAAGTTTAGTCATTGTAAGTACATCTTTTTTTTTGCATGCTATTCAAGATGGCTACATAGGTCAAAGCTCTCACTCAAACTTAAATATCATCACTGTACATATAACCCTATTTATTACAAATAAAGATGTTATTATTATTATTATCATTCATCAGCTTCCACAATCACCTTTAATTCGTCATTGTCGACCAAAGTTTTCGGACGACTACGGGGTTCATTTTACAGGTGCCGCTTGTGCCGTTTTGCTGCCACGACGGTGCTCATACTCCCTAATTACTCAAATTTTTAACTTATCCATGATGTCGAAAAATGTTCGAATGCATTGAAAACAAAACACTAAATACTAATCAACGCCGATTTTAGAATGTTTTTAAAATAAAATTAATTTGATATTAGAACTATCAGCTAAAAAAATATTTTGATTTGAAACGGCCAGTACGGCAGAACAGCAATTTCATAGGTAAAGATCTATTATTATCTAAGTTTGTTATAATATAAAGTTTATGTAACTAATGAGGGGCATAAAGAAGATCCATATCATATGAGTGTACCCATCGTGCACATCTATAAGCTTTTATTGTGACCCATTCAACACTGACGTTCTAAATATGGCTAATCAACCGTGACTTGATATAGTATAAAACGTGAGTATATAGCTTACAAAAATTCTAAAGCTGTAAATCCGAAAATGATGACGGCTGAGCCACGTGTTTTGAATTTGTGAAGTAATGGTACATAGAGATGCGGCGTGTAGAACTGGAATCTTATTAAGAGATCTGATAACTTTTTGACAGTGCGAGTCATATGATATCGGCTTGGCAACACTTTACACGTAAAGGTTTTTGTTTTTGAAAAAAAAATACGAAGCTTTTTTTTACTAGTCTTCTTGTGAATGTGGTTGCACAGATAATGTTTATTGCTTAGGCATCAATAATCTTAACCTGGCACTGATAATAGGGTATATTGAGAGGGTAATTAATAAGCGAGGTCGAATAGACGTGTCGGTAGGGTTAATCATGTAATAACATTTGCCGCAAGAGGGCGCGCTAACAATGTTGACCCTGGCCAAACACCGCTGCGTCAGCCGCATCCGTTACCCTATCCACACCTAGATATAATAGGTATTAGTATGATTTCTACAAGACCTCTGATATTTGCAGATGTTTGTTAAACAAAGGGTTTTAGTTAATTGTTAAGACTGAAAATGTTTACAAGTTCAAATATACAATTATATATTTATTTGATTATGAAGCAAAAACTTTGGATTCCTTTTAACATTGTATGGACGGAGGAGTATAAAACAGTTAAAAGATGAAATGGAGAAGAAGAATATATTGCTTGTTTATAATGAACTTGCTGTTATTCCGCGTCCCGCGTTAGTAATTTTAGGTGTACATTTATAATTATTTTGGTGATCAAAATAGTTTTAAGACGTAACGGCTGTATTATTTAAATGTAGCTATAACAATTAGAATCTGAAAAGGTTTTGTAGATTTTGTCATTTATTTCATTTCAGTATAAGTGAACTTCAAGGTAGCAGGCACACCAACGAGTTTGAGGGTCTTAAGTATATTAATAAATTGTGAGTAAATAGTGAAAATAGCGATCGGAATAATAAGTGACCCTATAAATTAAAAGATATTGGAAGATCTTAGTGTGTTTTCCAGCTAGACGTCTAGGTAGTAGGCACACTAGAAATACGATTTGTATAAGTTTGAATTATACGTCAAAAAATTGTGACTTCTTCATATTAAATGTTCATGGATGCTTGCGATGAATTTAAAACTTTATTGCGCTGCAATAAAGTTCAAATGTATTTTTAGTGATTTAATGACTACTATCTAATAAATAAATGTTAATGGATTTTATATTATCCTTGAAAATAGTTATAATTAGTCACGATTAAGTAAAATAAAAGGTAAATATCTTTATCGGGAGGAACCGCATACAAAAGTAGAAGGGATGAAAGTTTAACATTAAAGGTTAGGTCGCGTTTTTTTTTTAACAGATGCTGGTTTTGGCGACTTTTAAATCAGCCGTCTTATTGAATGGACCAAATATCATAAATTATCCAACTTCAAAACTAGGCATGCAATTGCATGGTCATTCAGTTAAATGACTAGCCGGCCAATTGAACGGTTGTTTCAGCCCATTGGCTGCGACGTAGTTATTATAAAGAAAATAAAGTCTTTTCTATTTTATATGTATTTTGTGATTATAGACATACTGAAGGTGAAGACTATATAAATTTCATTATTTATTTATATTATTATCTTCATAATAATGTTTAAGTCGTCCTTGCCGAATCAGGTTCACCGATATAGGTACATAATTCAACCCTTCCGTGCGGCGACGCGTGAAATCACTTTGTTCTATTGAGTTCGCTGGCCGGCTGCCTGCCGCAACCCCGCGTACAGGGTTAAAATTTTTCGCAAATAAGGCTAATGAGAAATTATAAATGCCTTTTGAACGGGGAGATATCTAAATAATGCCTCTCAAAAATTGGTATTTCTACTACGCAACGATTTTGTGTTGTTTAATTTATTAATATATTTTTAATTTCTGTGGTTATTAACATAATTAATGCACAACATTCAATGACGTTTTACTACATACACACAAAAAATTTTGGGGCCTGCCTGCTTTTTCTCTAAATTCTACGTCGGATTTTTGAACTTTTGGTCTTATTTCCAATGATGATAAGTAAAGAAAAATATGTTACTCGTAAATAACTTCTTGCAGAACATATCTTTCTGAATAGTTTACGTTGACGGCTGACTGCTACGGCTGCGGAGCATATCGTCGTAGTACTACAAACGGCTACGAAATATAAACGATGCGTACTATGTAGCGATTATTTGATGTTTCTATGACGTACAATTCCCACATTATTTACAATGTTATATTATCACTATGTTAGTTATGACATTAATTATAGATTATTAGATGTATTTAATTAACTGCATGAAATATTAATTACTTGCATGATACTTATGTATTACACAACAACAACAAAATGCGATATGTAGATAAAAATTTAGTTGCACTTTTCTAGATTCTCAATAAATTACCTTGCATAGTTAGTATAGAATTAGAAAAATGTTTGTGTATCGTAGACATATACGAGTTAACATATTTGAATGGTAACTGGCTCTATTCAAGAAGTTTGTGCATGTGTGTCATGTTATGTTTATATTATTGGATATTCTGGTAATAGAACTTATGGTTGCGAAAATAAAAGGCTGTATGTGCGCGCGTCTCGCTACGTCATTGGGTCGGAGGGCGGAGTCGCGCCGCCCTGCGCCCGGCGGCAGTCTGAGTCCGGCCGGCGCGCGCCCCGCACGGTCCCATGGTCGAGCACGCGCTCGTCGACTGCTCCCAGGCGAGCGCCATGCAGACCGTCCCGCCACAGCCTCACCGCGACGCTGATGAAGACCAGCTTGCCGACGAGTATGTGCAGAATTTTGAACTTGACCACCTCGAAGATCATCATCTTGTGAAACGCGAGCCGCTTCGGAGCGGATGGCATGAACTTATAGAAACTCCGCCGGCATGTGCCCGCGCCTGCAGACCGTGGCCGGATGCGGGCCCTTACCCTCAACCGCACGTCGCCATCGCCGTGGACCCTAGTACGCCTCCGGAGACTCCACCGGCTACCATCGGCCGCAGCCCCTGTCGCGCTGCGTTAGTTGACGATGTGCTTTGGTTACCACATATGCGAGAACCGCTGGATATGCGCACAGTTCCATGCGGAAACTTCGAGGAGTGGGATAGACGCGAGTGGCGGGAGCAAGACCACCACCTTCAGCAGGTCGCGCTGCGGCCGGCGAGCTCCTGTTCTGCACTATCACCCCGAACCGGCCAACACCAATCGTATCAAACATCCTCATGCGGTGACGATTTGATAAGCGATGATCTTCTTATGACTCTCAGTGTGCGTGAACTGAACAAACGTCTACATGGATTCCCTCGTGAAGATGTGACGCGACTGAAACAGAAGAGACGTACGTTAAAGAATCGCGGCTACGCGCAAAATTGCCGAAGCAAACGGTTACAGCAGCGACAAGAGTTGGAGATGACTAATAGGTCACTGCAGGATGAGCTTCATGTGCTTCAGCTGCAGGTGGCGCGCGTGACACATGAGCGAGACTTGTTAAAACAGCGACTAGCTCTGGTGGGGCGTGAGCATGCGGTGCCTCAGCACGCACCACCGACGCCGCACTCATCACCTGAGTTCTTCTCGGAGCTGTGACGACAGGGCGCGGCGCCGCGAGCCGCCGCTTCCTCAGCTTGCGCCTGGCAGCGCTACTGAGGTCGCCAAGTACCGCGCGCGTACGCACAGACCCCGCCCTCGTGTTTTTGTTAAGTTTGAAATTTGATTATCATCAGTTCCAGTTTTATAGTTTCTTTTTTAATTATGGTGGAACAATTTGACAGTAATGTTCCGTTCGGAATAACTGTTAACATCGTGTTAAATGTATGGTTGTGTCGTAAATTATGCATATGCATAGCTTCGTTAAATTACTATAATGTATTACTAAAGTTAATATAAGTTAATGATAACTTGATCCAAACAACTGATTATTCTATAACTGTAAATAGATACATAAATTACGAAATTATCTATAGGAGGATTTGTGTTTTCCTAATAAAAATACAAATACAATATTTACTGTTTTTTTTTACCATCCATCTTGTGTCTATTTCAGTAATGTGTTACTGAAATAATTTAGTTGCTTTTTACTACGTACGATCATAGTTTCTGAATAAATAAAATTTTTAAACATTTCTTTTGAACTTTAAAAATAATGAAAGGCTTTTCAGTGTTTTACTTTTGTTTTTCACATTTTCGAAAATTAAGCTTACTTAGCAAGCATTGATGCTGAGAGAGTTCTATGTAACATTAGTTTTTTTAATTTTATTATGAGTGTATTAAATAATTTAGTCCAAAATCATACGTCAACCGCGACACGCGACTTATCATTTTATCATTGTAATTATCAATATCATTATAATTTTAATTAGTTACATTTTACTGTAAACGGACGCAAGTATTTAATTTATATTATTTATCATTATCACCGGCACTATACAAAATGCAGATGCATTTATATGCTCCAATCGAATTCTTGTTTGTCATGTCAGCGTTTATCATGTAAAAAATATTCCATTTTAAACTCAAACTTATCATTATTAAATAACAAAATAACGGCATGTATTTTCATTTGGACACAACATTTGAGAAATCAAAAACAAGTGAATGGAACAAAATAAATGGAACTTGATAAATGAAACGCAGAGGCGTGAAAAAGGAAATATAGGTACCTAAAATACTTTTAGATTTAGTTTGTATTTCAAATAAGCATTTAAAACATATGTTTTATACCTATATACCTATATAGGTATACCGAAAATACTTTTTAATTATATTATTTTTGTAAAATTCTAGTTTATAGGAAAGATATTAAAATGCCTATGTATCGGATGATAAGTTTCCTCCTATGTGGGCGTAAAATCGAATTTTCATATAAAAAGTCATTTTACTAGTGCCGAGTTGGATAAACAAATAAATATTTAAAAGACACTCTTTGGGATAAGAACTTATTGTCGTTATACTTCTAAATAATATTATGTTCTCATGTTTCAAGTATTTATAAATCTAAGTATAGTCGCACCCTTACATGGCATGGCTAAGGAATGTAAATATACAGTAAGTTAGTAAGTATTTTGGAAATAGAACATTTAAAATTAAATAACTTAAAAAAGGGAACAAACAAATTATTTCTTATATAGAATTCACAAATGAAAATACAATCCGCGAAAATTATATTATATTTTTGGTACACTTTTCTTGTCTTAGATTAAGTTCCTAGGTTTTTGTATTCTGTATGTTTTTTTTGTTAGAGTTCTGCAGCAAATAAGGATGGAACTGAAATTTGGTACACATTTAAGTCGGTGACCTCAAAATAGCCATATATTAATTATTCTATACAGATTACAGGAAAACTGTAAGAAGTGTATGGGTTTTAAAGTTAATATTTTTGTGTGCGCGCCCGTCCTACTCGCTTTCGGCTTTATTTGAGGGTTCCTTACACACAGGATAAAAAAGGGACCCCGTTACTACGAATACGCTGTCCGTCTGTATATCATCAGGCTGTATCATTAGATATAACATGATAGCCACATATACAGTTGAAATTTTCACATACGATGCATTTCTGTTGCCGCTGTATTAGGAAATACTAAAAACAAATTAAAATAAATATTTAAGAGGGCTCCCACGCAATAAACGTTTTCCGTAAATCGGACTTGCCTTTGGCCGTTTATTATGAAATATTTTGTTTATATCTAAACATGTAATAAGTGTAGAGTAATATATGTGCATTGCATAGTTGTAATTTCTGTCGTCGAGTTTAGTAATTTGCTGGCAAGTAGGTACATAAAATCCTAATCCTTTTTACAAACACATGACGTTTCGGGTACTTTGCCGACTGCCGCTTTTTTATTATGTAGTTATCTAATATGTTGGTAGCCAAAACATTTAATTGATGACACGTTATTTACGATCCCAGTCAATTAGTCGTCTTTAGCTATTTTATTAGCTGAATGTAAATGTAATAAGTCCAATGGTTAAGTAGGCAACACGAAATGTTATTAATCAAAGAATAGTGATAATACCCACTATGTTCGCATAGAAATTCATATGTAAAGTAACAATAAAAATAAGCTAGATATAGCAAACGAAAAGTTTGAGTTTGTTAAGTCGCGATAAAAATTTCATAAATATATGCCTATATATTTTTCTTCAACGTTTGTATGTGTGTAGGTATATTTTGTTTTAAAGTTATACTCAGAAAAAGTTATTTAATGATATTAAATTAATTTGGTTTAGGGTAGGTATTTTATTCGTATGTGGGAATCGAGACCATCGAGGTGCAAAGTGCTTAGTTTGCAAAATGGCCGGCTCGTTGCGGCGCGATTGCCCAAGAATTGCGAGAAACGAGGTCGAATGCACAGTCGCGGCTCGCCTCGTCTGCACACTCGTGCCAGCCTTGTAACTTGCATTTGACGTTAATGATGTTAGGATGAATGCAGAGAAACAAACTTCGATTTTATCATTATATGCTCTCAGACCAAATAAAAACTTTTTTTTGGTCTTAACCTCTAAATATATAGAAAAGATTATCTGATGGAGGACAGACAATACTTTTATCTTTATCATCAATCAACTAGCTTAGCCACCGAACTTCGTTCTGCCATATACCCGTTTTTTAATATATATATTTTTTTTATACAAACCTTACATTTCGGCAATTAATTTTTATATACACTCATGCACAATTAATCGGCTACCTGTATCATTCATCACTCTCTTTGATTTCGTCAACTATGGCTTACTGTTTTGTGTTTTGTTAAGTGGGTACTCTAGCACAAAATAAAATACTTATACCATTATTTTTTTTCGTTAATTTGTGTTGCTGTTATATTACCGAGTTAACATTTTCTGTTATTTTCTATCATAGTGGGCGAATTCAAATAGCATTTGCTCATTGTGTGTGATTGCAAAAAATGCCACTAAATCCAACTTATGTATCTAGGGCAATGGCTTTAGCTAATGCGGGGTATAGCCAGCGTCGCATCGCTCGCACACTATGTGTACCTGAAACTACGGTACGAGATGCCATCAGACGATTTCGGGAGACAGATTCATACACCCGCAGGCCAGGTCAAGGCTGACATTGATGCCCTTCGACTCGAGATGACCGTTTCGTTGTCACCAATGTTTTGAGAAATCGCTTTTCGACCGCTACTGAAGCTCGTACGCGTCAGTGAACGTACCATTAGAAGATGACTAGCAGAAAGTAATTTGAGGGCTTCCGTCCAGCTCGCGCTCCGTAACTGCTTCCACAACACCGTAGAGCTAGACTTGGTTTTGCGCGAGAATATGGACTGGAATGTTGAGGAATGGAAGAACGTACTGTTATCAGATGAGAGCAGAATAACCTTAGGAGGTCCAGATAAACGTCAGCGTGTCTATAGGCGTCAAAATGAGAGGTTTGCTCCATGTGCTATATCTGAAACCTTACCTCCCTGGTAACGTACGGTTTCAGTTATAGCACATGGACTCTATCGAACACAACTAGGTCGTACCTATCTTGTTGTGTTCGTTAGAGGAAGAGTGACGTTCAAAGATACGTGGAAGAAGTTCTTCAAGACCATTTCATACTTTTCGCTCCGTTCATTGGTGACAACTTCAGATTAATGCATGCACGCACGTTGCCATACCGCAAGATCCGTCAGTGAGTACCTTAATGATATCCCTTAATTAAGTCGGGATTCAAATTTACCATGGCCTGCATGCAGTCTCGGTAGTAACCCAGTAGAGCACAATTAGGACAACCTTAAAAGACGTGTCCGACCAAGAGTGCCAAGAGTGGAACGGTTGCAGTAGAGGAGTGGCACAATATCCCCCAATCGAATATTCAAGACATCATGGATGAATTGATAAACCGGCTCCAAGAAGTCATAAGGGCCAAAGGTGGCAACACCCACTATTAATTTTTATTTATTCCTTATATTGCCCCATTTTCTTTCATAACCAAAATTTTAAAATGTTCCTCCAAGATTTTCAAAAAATTGATTTTTCGTAAGTCTCCTTTAATAAAATACTTTTTTTCCAATATTTTTGTTTCTTTTTCTTTAAGAATAGTTTATAACATTCCTTTCATAAAATTTGGCGATATCTGCGAATTAAAAGAAATAATTGTGTTTATTGTGCCTGTGAGTGTATATATACCTAGATATAAAATTAGCACTTCTATAGCGTCTCTGATCTATCTGGGTGTTGTGGCAAACTTGGATAGATAGGGACAGTCTTTTAATTTAATACCCAGCTTTAAGGCTTAAGGTTTTTAAAAATATATCTCGACTGTATTTGTCACAGTTAAAATTCTTAAAAATAATCCCTAGTTTTCTCCTTTTGCAAAGGCCGCTTCTATGGCCGTTATTTATTGTTTAAAATCAATGGAAAGATGGTCAGATTTTCGTATCTAAGTAACAGGACAATCAAAAAGGATGCGCTACATCTCATTTTAAAATCTTCCGAAATAATGTTTAAAAAATTTTAAACTTTTTACAAACGATCTTTAAGCTACATCTCTTTTTTAAATGTTTTGAAATAATGTTTGAAATTTTTAATCATTAGTTCGAATCTTTAAGGTTTAATGACGTTTTTAAACTCTGATAAATGTT